TCAAGGGGTCCACTGACAGTGATGATGCTGTGTATGGCAGCCTGCTGAATCATGACAATCTGGCCTTGGGTGCCATTGAGAGGGTCAACATTGCGCATCGAGTCACTGGAAAGCCGGAACTGACCAAAGAAAAGACGGACGCAATGTCCTCGAATGCTGATAATTGGGTGAAAGGCTACTGGGGATCTTCAATGAAGCATGGAACCTTCTGGACCACTGACCAGGTGCACGGCGAACCAAATTTCATTGAAGGCGGCCAAGTCAATGACTACGGATTTGTTCAAAGCACATATCACAAGCGGCACTGTCTTGCAAACCTGCGAATGATGCTCGCTTGGCACATTGCCGGAGATGGCAGTAAGATGACAAACGATATGAACGTGCATGCTATTCACTGCCTGGTGAGTCGATGTGATTGCACCAATTTTGCTGCTATTCATTTACTAACAACTTGCGTGTTCAGGAGTACCTTCGAGAACGCGAGCAATCCAACGCTGATTTGAGGGAAGAGCCGATTGATACGATTGATTATAAGGGCATGGGTATTCACTGATTACAGTGGAAGGCAACAAGTATTTGCCCCCTGCCAAGTATTACAGCCGCAGCCTTGTTTGAATGGGAACGACAAGACACTGCTGCTTTAAGTTAGAGCTACTTAACCCTGAGCCTTCCCTGGTATACTGAAAGCGGCGTGCTGTAGCTGCCTTTTCAAATCGCTACCTGGACGGGGACGAATACTTGTTGCAACCTACTGTACCTTCATTGGTACAGCATTCGATCAAGCACTGTGGAATATAGCGATAAGGACCTAAGAGCTACCGTGTAAAATACATAGTTGAGCAAGCTATGTAGCAGGACAGATTTTTGTAGTTATCTTATCTTATCTATTTCTTTCCATGTTATTACAGTACAATCACGACGCTATAGTTGGCATTGATCAGGCCTTGTCAGTCCGTGTCCATCTTGGAAATCTCCATCTTGGTCGGGCTACACTCCGCCCTTGGCAAAGGCTTCCACAGCTTTTGGCAAGCTTTCATCTATGAGTTGATTGGCGATATTGCGCGACTCTCTAGTCAAATTGATACTCCGAGCGGTGACAAGACTCCCCACCGTAGACATGGTGAAGCTAGTTATAAGTAAGGATTCTTAACTAAAGTAGTGTCTTCAAAAAATGTTCTACCACTCGAGCCAGACGGGAGCTGCTTCGGCACGAGCCGGGCCGCTGAGAGCGGGAAAACAAGTACGTCAAAGAAGAAAATGCCCCCCCTTGGCTTTCTATCCGCGGATGGCAATGACTACTGCCACACCTCAAACGAACATATTACCCACTGCCAACTACCTAACCTTATGTCACAAAGCATGGACGCTATTTTCAAAGAACAGAATTGTCTGCTAAAATTTTCATATTTCTTGTCTCCGCAATACTTTCTATTCCTTTTTGTATGTTCATTTTTCACCTCATCATGGAAGCAGCCGGCCGGGCAATGGCGGTCGTGAGTCTATCGGCTTAATCACCGTATTTATGTAATCTTTTGATCATGTTTGGCTAGAGCTTGAGTTTGGCAAAGACTATGAGACATACACTCTGAGATCGAAACCCCCGCAAAGCAAACTCTTCCACGTGAGAGCGTCGTGAAAGCAGCGCTCAAATACCTACATATATCAATGTGCGAGAGGGCGGCAGCCCGAACAAGCAAAAACAAGTACGTCACGAAAGTCTCCTAGGCCGTCCACGAGGGGAAACAAAAATTCGACAGCATGATGCCTGCGTGTCTGTGGGCTTTGATCGACTTGTTCTCAGCGGCGAAGCCCATGCTGGAGAGTCTTAAAAAAGGCAATCGTTGTGGCCTTCGGCCGGCAAGGTTCACGCAACGACAGATTGAGAAAACATGTACTTTCCATACCGGTCTTCCTCTCTTTTGCTTCCGCACAAAACGACTCACATATGCCATACTTCCTGTACACTGTATTCTCTGATAGACTACAATTACATCTTAATGTAGCGAAGATATTCTGCCCATACGTGAAAGTCTTACGGTGCCCTGAAATCACTGATCAAGAGTGACCTTGACGAGAACTGCTCTTATGCTGGGACGCTTACATCATGCGCCCAGAACAGTTTGTCAATGTCGTCAACGTCGTCGCTGCCAAATTTGAACTGCCTTCAAAAAGGTGATCATTGCCCTTCGTGCCATGCTGTTGAATGATTCATTGAAGCACAGAAGTGTGTTGCCTTGATAATGATCCAAGGACCGCAACTGAGAATCAAGCCCTTGCAACGCAATCTGAAGTTTAGACCGCTCCTTCTGCCGAAATCCAGCGTCAATAAAGAAATCTTGATCTGGGCTCTTATACCTTCCGATGTACTATTTGAGCGGCTTTGAGCACGGCTCTGTCCCGCGCTTGCCCTCTAGCCGATCGGAGAGCTGAGCAAAACTAGTGAAGGGATTATGAGCAGCTTCTTTGGCTAGCGCCAGGTAGTCATTCGGTGTTGGTGAGTCGACAACGGCCTTAATGAGAAGCTGGTTGATCCAGCCGGCAGGATCTCCCAGTTCTATGAATTGACAAGAACGATAATGGCGCAGTTAATCTCCGGCATTAGCGAGAGAAAAGTCGTGTAGCCCGCAAGACTGCCTCCATGGGAATGAAGAAGGCGGACGTCACCGCCTGAGGCCAACAGGGGCATTTTCTCCATGAACATTGAACGATGAGCTTCTGGGTGATGAATTGACTGCGAATGTGGAATTCGGGCAATATATCGCGGACAAGTGTCTGCTAGCTGAGGTGACCCTCATCCACCAGGAATTCCAATGGCAGACGCTGTGAAAGTTTTGGAGAATGAGCCGATGCCATAGACTGTATCCAAGTTGGGGGCGAGGTTTTGCTTGAGATCTCTACGGCCAGGGTTCCATTCGTCGATTGTTTGACCGTCGAATGACACCCCCAGAGAGACTGATGGGGCACCTGTTGCCGAAGTGATTGCCTACATCACTGGCCCGAGGGCTTGCAGCCTCTCGAGAATCTTGGTCTTCATGTCAGGCATCTAATGGAGTGTCAGCAAATGTAGTGGCTCATGGGCTGAGGCACATCAATGAAAGTTTTAACTGGCGAAGATTTTGATCAAAACAATAAAGACGAAACAGTTGGTTTGTCTTTTGGGCCGATGCGGCGAAATGGCGACGACGGGCAAACACAGCAGAGCGCGGATGGTACGTTACATGTTACACCAGAACCAAGCTACTTGGTCAGGAGAGTTGACGTCAGGATGTTGGTGCGCACAAATACCCTGATAGAACCCATCACATTGTCCCAAAGTGACGGGTTGAGCCTGAGCCATCTTCTCTGGCACCTAATGCAATCAAGAAACAAGGTGGTAAGCGAATGCGTGTATGAATACGGTACTCCAAAACAGTACGCGTGCCCGGACGTGACCATCAGCCCTTTTGACAGTGCAGAATCAGGCAACCATCTAAACAACAGCCAGTGCAGCGCGAATAAAATTTCTACTCGAGGCGTACGGTGCACCATTGATACCAACTTTTGCATTGTTGCTTTTTGGTTTCGAATTTCCAAATTCGTGATTCGCGCCACATCATACCACATTACACTAAAACACGGCATTTTTTAACACTTATTCCTCCACACATAAGGACTTAATTAGCTATAAGTATAGATAAATAAATAGAGAATTAAATAAGCTTTATTTTTATATACTTTATAACTAGTAAAATAACATAGTTATCAAGGAATTAGTGTTTAAAAGTACTATACTTTTAGTGTCCTATAGTGCCCTATAGTAGCGCCTACCTTAGTTAGCACACAGAGCACCACAGGGCGCCACAGGGCACCACAGGGCACCAAAATACATTATTTTTAAACACTAATTTCTCTATAAATACGTTATTTTACTAGTTATAAAGTATATTAAACTAAAGCTTAGTTAATTATTTAGCTTTTAATATATATTACTAATTAATTAAAGCTTTATATATAGAGTAATAAGTGTTAAAAAATACCATATTTTAGTACCCTATAGTGCCCTATAGTGCCCTATAGTGCCCTATAGTAGCGCCTACCTTAGTTAGCACATAAGACACTAAAACACGGCATTTTCTAACGCTAATTCCTCTATTAATATATCTTTCTACTAGTTATAATATATCTTGAAATAAAGCTTAGTTAATTATCTATCTTTTAGTATATATTACTAGTTAAGTAAAGCTTTATGCGTAGAGTAATAAGCGTTAAAAAATGCTATATTTTAGCGTGATGTGGTGCGAATCACGGAATTTGATTTTCGAAATCAAAAAGCAATAATGCAAAAGTTGGTATCAATGGTGCACCGTAGAGGCGGTGTGTCTGGGCCTACAGGCACTTCAACTTTTTTAGAGCTCTAAAAGACAAAGCATCACCTCACTCATACGTATAATGGATCGGCAGGGTACCAACAAAAGAAAACGAAGCGCCGATGGAAGTGACAAAGCGGATGCTCTATCAGCTGCTCCATTCTTGGCCTTGAGGACATATGCGAGGATGTTTTGCATCCAAGTGAAGATCCGCAATGGCAATACTGGCCGGGTTCCCAAAGCGATAGAAGATTAGCCTCTTTGAAGCACATGCCATAGATTAGAACCAATTAGAACACAATCACTACGCAGAGAGCTTGTGCTGCGCTGTTTGATACATCGCGGCACATCGCAGAGATTATCAATATATCGCCTTCCCGAGAGACGATCTAATACATCGACCCGACGGCAAAGGCAAGGATTCCGAGCTCGAAAGGCGTTTTTGGCAGGCCTCTTATTTCATTAGATCTGTCACACCACAGCAGTCGCCTTATACACAGCCCACATACAGGTTTGAAGAATAACAAACACGACTTCCACAGATCCTGGCCCTGAGCACGGTCGTAGTGTAGTACAGGTAATAAACCGCGGAGGGTATCCGTCCTGGGGTGGTCGGTGCATCCACAAACGGACGTGCCAACCCCCTGAAAATGGAATATAGTAGACGGGCAAATTGAACAGTTTGATCGTAAATCATTCGATGATCCATCGTTTATTCTACCCTTTGTTACTTGAAATTCTTCCCCAGTGAATCTGTTTGTGATTACATTGAACGCCCATGGCGGGGCACCATGGCGATGCTATCAGTAGTCCCGCACTCGCGCCCTGCAGATGCGCTCAAGCGCTGTACAGCAGTGTGAGCAGCTGAGCGAGTCTCGGGGGAGTATTGGAACAAGCACGCAAAATTCTACGGACACAGAACAGTCCACGACGCAAGTGTTTCCGCGCCACGTAGCAGTAACAATTGATCAGGCGGTAAGTTACTAATTTGGAGGTCTGGTGACGTTCGACAAGGGCCCTCTGGCATCTAGATGCCCCTGGAACAAAGTGGCTCGCTGGGGCGGCGCTCCGGGAAGCTGGACCCGGAGCGGCGACTGCCAGTAGGAGTATTTCAGAGTTACGAACGATCAAGTCAGTAGTTAGTGTGTGCATCGAGTCAATTGTGTTGGGCAAATATTGGACCAGCTTGATCGGCGAGTACGAGGGCGAGCGAGGATGAGGGAGATGAGTTATTGACCGACAACGGTGAATGATGGCAAGGGAAGGAACAGAAGAGGGAAAATCAATCAAAGAAGAGCATACAAAGACTTAGAAAAATGGATCAACAAGACTTGTGCCATTTCTCATGCTCCAGCGGCCAGGTAGCTCGTGCAACCACTATGATTAAAACAGGCGGTCAGTCACAGAACCCAACAGTCATCACTCTTTCACAGGCAAACAGACCCTGCTAGTGCCACTTCTAGCTTTGGCATACCAGACGTCGAAATACTGGCGACTCGCATCCTCGCATCCCTCACAACTCTTCTCCATCGTCTCCATTGTCTAATTTGACAAAACTCATCTGCAATTTTTCATCTCCGTCATCATGTCTCTGCCTTGATGCTTGTACGCCCTTTCTTGAGTCTCTGATTGCCCTCCCTCGCACCTGACAAGCGTCTGCATGCACCTTGATATCCCCGAGGAATCTCCCTGAAGAATCAAACACCATCAGACCCATCACCACAAAAAAAGAGACGCCCGCCGTGACAAGATTTCTCGATTGCATTGTCACACCCGTCGCATTACACAAGACGCCACTCCGGGTCATAGCCCTCAACTGCTCGCCGCTCCGCCTCGTCGACACTGGCCCGGTGCTGCAGCTGGCAGGGGCCGTTTCCCGTTTCTAGGTGCACGCTTCTTGTTGATTGTTCTTGCCGCCTTTCTGACCTGTCCGAGATAGAAGGCCTGTCCTCGTTGGGCAAATTCGTCGCTCGCTTGACTCCTCACTCTTTCTTTGAGAGACGGCAGCCGCTCATCCGACGACACACTGGAACTGGAATCGCTCTTCCTTCATTGACCCTTGACCTGGCACACCACCATTGCTCATCTCTTGATAACTCCAGGTTGGTAAGCTTTTTCACCTCTCCATCTGCTTCGCAGTACTCGGCTTCAATCAACTTGTTCAACCAACAACCCGCCATGGCCGTGTCCATCGCCGCCGTTTCTTCCCTCGCAACCCTCTGCTACCTCTACCCGACAACGGTCTTCCTCTTTTCTAGCATTGCTTCCGTCATTGCCACTTGCACTCTTCAGGACCAGAAAGATGACGACAAGCCTCTACGACCAAGCAAGCGATTCGTCGTCGTCTCGTACGGTTTGTTTCTAGCTACCTATGCCGTGCAGATAGCTCTTCTGTGCATACATGCCATTCTTATGCACGCCTGGACCGTCGAGGAGCATGTCATCATTGGCCGCCTTTCATGCTTTCTCGTCTTTGGCATTCAGCTGAGTCGCATACTCGACTCTAATCGTCTCTCGCCCATCCCGCTATGGGGCTCCGTTGCACTCGCCTTGGCCTTTGAAGTCGTCATTACTATTTCGTCAACGCTTTCAACCCCCAACCTTGCCGGCGTTTTTGCGCTTTCCGATTTTTTCTTGAGCATTTTTCGTTGCACTCTTCTTGCCGCGCTAGCTTCCGTAGCCGTCCTCGGCTGGTGGGCTGCTCCAAACCCAAACCCCGAGGCCGAGTCTCTTTTACCCAAGGATGATCCGCCTACGGGCTATGGAACGCAAACTGAAACCGAGGCCGAGTACAGCTGGGAAAGAAGACAGCGTGAAGCACGCGAGGTCATGGAAAAGCGCCTCAAGCAAAATGGCAACTGGTTTCAATACGTAAAAGGTTTCATGGTAAGAAATTTGCCCTCACTCTACAGCCCATAGGCTAACTCGATAGATTTTGTTCCCCTATGTCTGGCCAGTGGGACATAAAGCACTGCAAATGCGAGCGTTCGCCGTCGTGCTTTGCCTATTTGCGTCCAACGCCCTGCATCTTCTCATACCCCGTCAGACTGGCATCATCATGGACAGCCTCAGTGGCACCAATGCCGTCAGTCCCTGGATCGCCGTCTTGACGTATGCTATACTGCGTCTAGCATCGTCCGAGTGTGGCATCGAGCTTGTTCGGCAATGGCTTTGGATTCCCGTCAAGTACTTTTCCCATGATGCGCTCACTCGTGCTGCCTATTCGCACATGATGCATCTCTCTGCCGACTTCCACGACTCCAAGAGCTCCTCGGACATGCTCATGGCCATTCATGGCGGTGGTGCCGTGTCCAACGCTGTAGAGAGCATATTTCTCCAGGCTACTCCCATGCTGGTCGACATGCTGGTCGCCGTTGTCTACCTCTCCGTCACCTTTGGGCCTTACGAAGGACTTATCACTATGGCCACGGCCACCATCTTCCTGCATTGTGCTAGCCGTCTTGTCGCCAAGTCCAAATCTGTCAATCGAAATAGGGTCAATGCCATCTATCAGGAGCACTACGTTCGGCACTCCGGGCTGCTAGGCTGGCAGACCGTGTCCGCATTCAATCAAATCGGCTACGAGGATAATCGGCACGCTAACGCCGTGGCAAACCGCTGGCTTAGGGAACAGCAGTACGTGTTAAGCTGGCACATTTCGACCGCCTTCCAGACCATTGTGCTGTCTTCTGGACTCTTGGCGTCTGCCTTTCTCGCCGTCTACCGCATCCAGAACGGTCGAGCCACCTCCGGTCAATTCGCCATGCTGCTCATGTACTGGGCTCAGCTGACGTCGCCGTTGCAATTTTTTGCCAAATTGGGCAAGAGCATGAGTGACGACTTCATCGATGCCGAGCGTCTTCTCGATATTATGAACACCGAGCCCAGCGTCAAGAATAAGAAGAATGCCCGCCCACTCAAATTTGTTTCCGGCAAAGTCGAATTTGACAAGGTTTGCTTCAGCTACGACGAGCAAAAGGGCGTTATCAAGAATGTCAACTTGGACGTTCCTGGGGGTCAGACTGTGGCGTTTGTCGGAGCTACGGGAGCCGGGAAATCTACTTTGCTTCGTCTGCTTGACCGCTTCTACGATGTGACGGGTGGTGCGATTCGCATCGATGGACAAGACCTACGCGATGTTGACCTTTTCAGTCTCCGCGACCGCATCGGCATTGTGCCTCAGAATCCCATTCTCTTTGATGACACCATTATCAACAATGTTCGATACGGCAGAATCACGGCCACTGATGAAGAGGTATACGACGCTTGCAGAGCCGCTTGCATTCATGATAAGATCGTGGGCTTTACCAACGGATACCAGACCCGTGTCGGAGAGCGTGGTGTCAAGCTATCTGGGGGAGAACTGCAGCGTGTTGCCATTGCGCGTGCCATTTTGCGCAAACCTGATATCGTACTACTTGATGAGGCAACCAGTGCAGTTGATACCGACACGGAGCAGCAAATTCAGCTTTCCTTTCGGCGTCTTTGCCAAGGCCGAACCACCTTTATTGTTGCTCATCGCCTGTCGACCATTATGAATGCCGACCGCATTGTTGTCATTGAACACGGGGAGCTTATTGAGAGTGGCAGTCACGATGAGCTGATTTGCGCTGGTGGACGATACGCGGATCTGTGGTCGAAGCAGGTTTTTGTGCAACCCAAGGGCCCTCCTGTCAACATCACCAAGGCGTTAGATGAGCAAAAGGTCTCGAGAGCGACAATTTTCGAGCACGAAAGCACCCAAGTTTCTCGTACTGTTAGTGACAGTGGAGACGAAACGCCTATGTCTGAGCAGGACTCCAGCGACGCCGTTCCCCAAGCCACCCCAAGCGCCAAACGCGACCGTCTGACGAGAGCTTCTATCGATAGCGATGCTATGAGCAAGGCTTCAAAGCTTAATCCCATTGCCCCGGAATTTACGCCTCGAACCACAACCCCCAAGATGCTTCCCAAGTCGGGCGACTATGACAAGTTGAGCTCGTCGGCAGAGAGGGCACGGCTCTGGGCTGATGAGGTTGCCGCCGCCAAGGCAGATGAGGGGCAGGCTGAGCTTGTGATGCCAAAGCCCAGCACCGAAGCTGAAGATGAGTCAAAGGTCTCTAGCGCTTAGAAGCTGCCAGAGAAACCAACAGACTCGGTTGGAAAGATATTAGACGTGCAGTACAAGCATCCACGCTACTCTCGTCGCATCCAGTCGAAGAGTGATCCACCGTATGGGGATCTCGAACTGGCCAAGCCCATCCCAGTCGACTTTGTGTTATCCACTGTACGTTCTCTCTGTTCCAATCTGGAAATGCAAACTAATCAAATTAGAAGCGCAGGGTGTCTGCTCCTCATGCAAATCGCACGTCCCTTCCTAAGCCAAAGACAGTTTCCAAGGTAGACAGTCCCAGCAGAGCGCCGTCTGGTTCCTTGACTGGGGTAAAGAAAGACACAGAGTTAAGGACGGAAGATCAAGAAACAGAGCACGTGAATGACGAAAACGAACCGCCAGCTCACGTTGGCGATATCAAGGCTACTGGCTCGCTCTCCAGGAGCCGTGGCACTCGTCGCGGGCGCGGATGGCTACGTGGACGCCGTGGACGTGGGCCATCCGGCAGCTTGCGAACTTCATCATCCAAAATCGGCACGCAATGAGGCTGCCCTTGTGTATACGTAATGGTGGACTGGTTACATTGTATCATTTGAACACGCACATCAGGCACGGAGAATTGCCAGAATTTACAGCATTTTAGATTGGGGATGTCATTATGAGCATCCCGTGTATTTCAACATGGATTTGCATTGATACGGAAGGCATTGGTACAATGCTGCATTGTTTGCTGGAAACATGGTACATGAACCTGATTATGCAATCTTAATCACTGGAGGATAGGCTACTGTATAATTCGCATAGAGAATGGTAGATGACTATGAATGCAGCTTTGTATCATTGGGCCATTTCGAATTCTATCAACGTCCAGCGCCAGGACCGCCAGCGCCACCAGGAGGAGCACCACCACCGCCCATCATATTGCGGGCCCTAATTCACATTAGCACCAAGTCGTTTGTCGTTTGCATCTTGTGGACTCACATTTCGGCAACGTTGGGGTCGCTCATAAGGCTGTTGAGGTCGGGCATGCCGCCTCCGGAGCCAAACTGGTTGGCCATGTCGCGGATACGCGGGTTGCTCATGAGGTTGTTGATCATTTCGGGGTTGCTCATCAAGTTTTGGGCCATGCTTGCGAACATGGGGTTGCTCATGATGGAGCTGAGATCGGGCATGCCGCCCGCGCCAGCACCTCCTGCGCCGCCAGCACCGGCACCGCCAAACATGCTCGCGAGGCTCGCGAAATCAGGCATACCACCGGCCCCCGCACCGGGCGCGCCGCGCGCCGCCACATCATCAACCTCACCAGCGTCGCCACTCGTCTCCTCGACGCGGCGCTTAGCCGTCTCGTATCCCTTCTTCATGGCGTCTGAGCCGCCATTGCCCTCGTACTCGATGCCCTTGGCGTAGGCCTCCATCGCGCCCTTTGCGTCGCCGAGTGCGAAGCGCGCGAGGCCGAGACGCGACCAAGCTTTCGTGTAGGCAGGGTCGATGGCGACGGCGGCCTCGGCGTCAGTCTTTGCGCTGGCGTGGTCCTTGGCGGCCGAATGGGCGGCGGCGCGGTTAGACAGGAAGACGGCGTTGCGCGGGTGCAGGGCGAGGGCCTGCGTGTAGAGGTCGATGGCGGTGGCGTAGTCCTTTTGGGCCATGGCGGCGTTGCCCTGGGACTTGAGGCCGTCGGCCTCGCGCTTCTTCTCCTCCGAGATGGCGGGGGCGGCTTCTTCAGAGGCCGCGGTCGCGGCGGCGGCGGCGGGTGTGGACGCGGCGGGGTTGTTGCGGGATTTGGCGACTTCGTAGACGGAGTAGATTTGCAGCAGGTTCTGGGCGCCAATGGCCGAGGCAACGGCAGCCTTATCGGTGGGGTCGACCTTGAAGGACTCGGCGATGCAGTTGACGGCTACGTCGATGGAGTCCTTGTCGTCGGCGGTCAAGGTGCCGTCGGTGGAGGACGTGCTGAGAAACTCGCAAATGGCAAGCGCGAGCTTCTGCTTGGAGGTGAAAGCGGCGGCCTTTTGTGGTCTCTTTGTTAGCAAAAGAGTTCGACGGGGGGGAAAACAGTCATGTTTGGGAGGCATGGCGGGGTAGCTTGGAGGAAAACAAGGAGGGAAAAGAGGCCATCATCTTTTGCGAATTAGCGTGAGCTGGAAAGGGGTGTTTATTACCATGTTGAAAGATTGTTTTGGTGTCGACGACGGACGACAGACGACAATGTAGGATGCTGAGACGGGGGACGAGAGAAGACGTTAGCAGCAAGTTGATGGGCGTTGGTGGTGCGGTGGCTACCTAGGTACAGGCGGGCGGGAAAAAAAAGGTGGGCTTGTTTTCTGCCGACAGCCCCGCGGCAAAGGGTCCGATCGGTGTACGTACGTTGAGTGTGCCTGGGACTAACGAGCTACGAACGAGCCTTGCACATTGTTCATTGAATTTACAAACCAAAAATGCGATGAATGGTCTTGATTACGCAGTGATGAAGAGAACAACCATTTCCTGCAACTATAGCAACCGTAGACTCCAAAACCATGCAATTTTTGTACAGTTGAAACAGAATTAAAAAGAAAGCCCCAGCCTACTTCTTCAACCGTCTCGGGCGGTCCACATTCTTGACTCTCCGGTTCGACAGCGCCGCCACCTTGCGCGTCTTGGTGTAAACCCGAAGCATGTCGCGCAGCACAATGAAGAGGCACCCGCCAACCAGACTGCGGCCCCATTGTTGCTGAAAGAGCCCTGGACGGCCACCACCGGCGGTGGTGGAGGAGGAGCGCATCCATGGGTTGCGTCGCGTCGCGGTGGTCCACTCCTTGGGCAGGACAAGACGCAGGGCCTCGCCGGCAATAAAGGAGACGCCAGGCAATATGAGGGCGCTCACAATGGCGTTGGACACGTTGGAGAGGATCGCGCCAAGGCCCATGCGCCGCGCGGGAGCGGGGGGCGCTTCGTGGTTGCCGGCTGGCGCGTCGGCCGCAGCATCGGCCGGTGCGGCTAGAGGCACGACGGGAGCGGGAGCAGCGTCGTCGGCTGGAGCGTTTGCGGCATCACCAGCGTCGCCTGCGGCATCGTCTGCAACGACTTGGCCAGCCTCACCGACTTCTCCTGCTGGAGCTTCACCTGGTGCAGCTTCCGGAGCGCCCTCGTTGATCTCGCCACCCGCGGCCTCATTCATGTCCAGCTCTTCCACAATGACCTCGAGCATGATGGCGTCCTCGCCACCGCCTTCACCTTGGGCCTCCTCGCCGCGAAAGTCAAGCTGAAACTCGTCGGCCTGCGGGTGGCCGTCAGCCTCTTCCTGGTCGAGCGCGTCAATGAGTGTCTGCAAAATGCCAACTATGCCGCCCTGGGCATGGGCCGCATTGCGCGCCGCATTGTTCTGATTGCCGTCGTTGGCGGGCTCGGGTCGGGGCGGCACAGGCGGCAGCCCGAGAAGCTGGCGGTTCATCCTAGTCTCGTAAGGAAGGACAAGCTCTTTGTAGAGGTTGTAGTAGACGGAGCGAATGTAGGGAAAGACGGCCAGGGCGAGCTGCGGGGACGGCGGCCAGGTGAAGAATTGTTCGTCGTGCATGACGTGGTAGATGCCGTACTGCAGCTGTGTTAGAATCGAGTGGTCTCGGCTTATGCCGAAGCTGTACTTACAAAGGACGCCGTGGGCAGAAAGATCTTGTTGCTCCAGCCGGGAAACAAGTGTCCCACGAGCAGAGCCGGGGCGACATTCATCAGAACCAAGGCGTTGGTGATGCGTTCGCGCGCGAACGCCAGCGGCGCCGTGCGCCTGCCATCAATCATCATCCCGGGCCCCATGACAAAGCGCATCATGGCGTCCTTGCCGGAGAATGTCCACAGCGCCATGGCGCCGTACATTTGCATGCTGAATTGGACGCCCAAGGACAGAGCAGTAAAGAGCACAAGGGGGCTCGTCTTGGTGAAACGCTTGGCGATGAGGTCGCTCAGCAAGACGACGGGATCCCAAGAGCCCTCCATCTCAATGGGCGACTTGCAGACGGGGCACCGGAGCGGGCGGTTGGAGCGCTCACAGTCCGTCACCCACGACAGCATGCAGTCCTGGTGCGCCTCGAGCGTGCAGGGACACGGGTCGACCCAGCTGCCGGGCGCGTCGGCGGGGTCCTCGTCCGTCAGGCAGATGAAGCAGCGACGCGGCGCGTCCGGGGCGCGGGGAGCGGTGATGGCATCCATGGCGGCCGGCGCGAGGGTCGGGCTTGTCTCGGCGGGCGCGTCCGTGCGGTGTGCGTCCATCGATGTGCGTGCTGATGGTGTTTGTTGGGGTATGATGCGGCTATGGCATGTCGGTCAGACGACGGACGGGGCGTGGCAGGTGGGCGATAAACGCGGCAGTCGGGGGGGCAAAAAGAAAAGTCCACGTAAATGTGGATAGGAGCTTGCTAAAACAAAGAGCTTCGAAAAGGTGAGATGAGATGAACAAGGTGAATCGTGGCGGTATGCCCGAGCGGCGTGAATCAGGCCGATGGCGATGAAAGTGTTGAATGAACTAGCCAACATTACCGGCCGAGGCAAACGGCGTTGAGCGCTGATGTCACCATCAGCGGTTATCGACTGGCGGAGCTGGCCAATGGGAGCGGCCGACTGATGGATCGCATTGTGCTCTCATGATAATTTAGAGATTATTCCCGGAAAAAAGAGACAGAGTCAAGTTAAAGAGCCCTTATTGACCATTCGAATTCTTTATTTTATTAAGAATTACAGTGGCACAAGAGCAAAGACAACGAGATGGTAAAGATGGCACCACACCACCTCCGCATCGCGCCACACACCACAACTATCATATCACCATCTCACACACTGTGATGCCGATCCATCACCACTACGCGAACCGGATCTAAATCCCCGAAAACTGATATAAGTCCTGATATAAGTCCGCAGCCTAATGACTCGACTCGAGATACCTTCGCATACTCGCTCGTGGCGTTGGCATCTGCATGAGGCACCACTCTAACTGGCACAACTTGCTCAACACCCCAGCCAATGCATCACTAGACCTCGCAGACCATGCATCGCGTATGAGTAATGCAAGGATGGAGGCGAATTTGATGTCAAAAACACCCCGATTGAAGCGAGCCTAGACTGCGGTCACGTTCGTCCCGTCTTCCCCCTGCGTCAGTATGAGCAAGTTATCACCCGGATGGCCAGCCCACCCGCGCGCCAACCTTATAAAGCACCGCAAATGTCCTCACGCACCCCCCTTGTCGTGCGACCTTTGTTATAAATACCGGTATGCATCATCGCGCCCCAAAACGACGCGGCGGCATGCGGCCACCGATGCCTCGCAGCCGACGCTGGCGATTCCTCCATTGCCACCACCACCATCACGAACCCCGCATCTAATATTCTCATTGTCATGACACCGAGCGCCGCCGAGCTCACCCGGCGCGTCCTGCTGGGGCTGGAGGTGTGCGTCGTCATCTTGGCGACGCTTCACTCTGCCCACGCCATGCTGACTGCTAGTCGTCTGCGGACGCTGCAGTGTGCCGTGAGCGGCGACTGCGAGGAGCAACCAGATGAAGACGCCACGAGGTATTCATCTCCCCCTTCCCAGCTTGTCTTGCGATGCTACCCTACCATTTTGACTTGTTCAGCTAACTTGTCACAACCAGCCTCGTCACCTCGGGCCTGGCACTTGCCATTCTCTCCAGCGTCGTCCTCCTCGCCCGCCTCGCGCTGCTACAGCTGCGCTATTTCCCCCGGTTCGTCGGGCTGCTCTACGACACGCTTATGGCCTGCCTCTGGGCGTTGGGGCTGGCGCAGCAGCTTGTGCGGCCGCTCGCGACGGCACGCAATCTCAGCGCCGGCGGTCTCGTCGTCGAAGAAACGGACGGCGTCGTGCTGACGTGCTGGCGAGTGCGCGCCGCCGCCGTGGCCGCGACCGCGACCGCCTTTTACGCGGGTCGGCTGCTGTTTGAGTTAATTTTCATATGGAACGGACGCGCGCCGCCGAACGACTACCGACCGATCCAACAGGACGACAATGAATGGTGGGCGATGGAAAAGGAAGACGTCGAGACTGCCGCGCTGTATCCGCCGCAGGCGTATAGTCCGGTTTTGGCCTTTTTTCCCGACGACTGAAGCAAAGGTCACGGGAAAGGAAGCACAGGACAGAGGTTACACAGCGTCTGCATGATGCAGGCTGTGAGGTTGTTTGGGTACTGCGCTCAATATCTGCAGCCATTTGGGACGAGCCCGATCCGGTTCCCAAAGGAGGGGGTCTATCATTGCATAAACGAGCGAGCAACATCTGAGCCAAGATTTACGTGGCGAATTTGGATTTTGGAATTACATTCTACGGCACTTGGTCTCAAGCAGACATTGGTTTTAGCAAGTTTTATTATTAGCTATCTCAGCTACCGCCATTTATTTGTTCTGTCAAAAAGAAATACGTTAGCAAGGAGAGTTGCCTCGACCGATGACGTGCGCGAACGTACAGGGCAGTTAGCGCAAGTGCAGCCAGAGCCGCAGCTGCAGGAGCCAGAGGTAGCGCAGCCGCAGTCACCCATGATGAATGATTGTTTGTTTGATGAAGAGGAAAAGTTTTGGTGAAGTAGTGTTCTATTTTATTCTGGTTGAAGTGATGTTGAAGGAAGGAGGGGAAAGTAAAGGCACAGACTTTTCGAAAGGTGGGCTATTTGTAGGTCACTGGCCGTGTGAGCAGGAGGGCAAGAGGGGTAGAGTCCGGCTTAAGTGCATCTTTCTGCTAAAGAGAGAGAGAGAGAGAGTAAAAAAAAAAAGTTCCGGTGCCCATCGGGATTAGACGGTCCCTTCTGGGATAGGCCCTGAAAGATGATGCGGTCTTCGTCTTCTTGGTACACGCCGAGTGGTTCCGCGCCGCACTCTGCCTAGTGTAGGTATTTAATGCACGAAGGCTTCTAGCACGGGGCCTAGGTACCTGGTGACAAGTTCTTCCTGCCGACTTGCCCACGCAGTCGCGGGTCAGCACAGGATGGGCTGCTGCGGGCACTCCACCGCCACTGCTGGGGCCGAGCAAGATTAGCGGGCATCTTGGTTCGTTGTGGTTGTCTACAAAGTGGAAATGTCATGATTTTTTGGGTAGCGGTTTTCCATCATTTTTCGACGTGTCAAAGGTGCGTTTTGTCGCCGCCTTTCGTCTGGGAACCCCCGCCCGCCGCCGCCACAATGTGCGCCTCGGCAACAAGGGCTTGTCGGATGGAGGTAGAGCACGGGAAGGGACTTTGTCTGGTTGGGCTAGATCTCGGGTTGGGTCATTTTCTGGAAGGCTGGTTGCCTACCGTATATGTGTTTGGATCGGATGGAAATACCTAGGCAGTTGCCCGAATGACTTCCATATCTCGTCATCGAAAGGCACTTGTACCCTAGAGCTCCTCGCGCAATTCACAGCTCGAACTGGCGCTTTCTAGCCGCCTGCATGAACTCTTCGAAGGTTTGAACCAAAATTTTGAACCAAAATCTTAATGCGAAGAGGCATATAATAAGCTCTTTCAGTGCTATATAAAAGCACGTGGCTGCATTATTTATCAATGTTCTCACCATGCGAACATAAATGAGTCTGTCATTTTCATCATCACATCCACTCCAATAAGCCCTGCAAAGCCCTTCCCGCCCCCCCAATTCCGAAAAAAATCCAAGATAGCAACCTCGTCCCAAAGTATCCATCATGCGCTCTGCTGCCATCTCCCCAGCATTTTCCAGCTGGACTCGACCTACTGCCCTCAATCAACTGATGACGCAGAGAACCCCGCCATCCGCCGCCTCATAATGAGGGGCAAGGAGGGACCCCACAGAGGCTGGCCCCGGATTTCTCTACGACTTACTTGCTTATTTGATCCTCCGAGTAATTGTCCGCAAGCGCGCCATCCACGAGCGACCAAAAACAGCGGGGAAAAGCTGAACAATTATTTTTCAACTACAAGCCCAGTTTAGATCATGGGACGACGCTTCGTCGCTGTTGTGCCACTTGCTACTTTATAATCCCTTCACTATCACTTCTGTCTCAGTCGCAGGTCACGGCGATCTTGTTTCAAGAAGGCAGAAAAAAGAAAGTAAAGGAAAAGAAAAAACTTTACCGGATTACCAGATTCGACATGGCTTCCGTCCCCGTCGTCGCGTCCCTGGCCGACATCTACCCCCACGACGCTCTCGCACAGCAGACTTCACGATGGAACGCCCTGTACGCCCGCTTCAGCTCCGCCTACGCCGGCGCCGTGCCTGCCTTCGTCGCGCGCTCCCCCGGCCGTGTCAACATCATCGGCGAGCACGTTGACTATTCGCTCTACTCTGTGCTGCCCATGGCAATCACCGCCGACGCCATCATGGCCGTATCGGCGCGTCCTCCTTCTACCACCACCACATCCTCCTCCCCGTCGACGTTCAAGATTCGCATCGGCAACGTTGATGACACGAGGTTTCCGTCGCGTGAGTTTGTCCTCGACGCCGGCGCCGATATCGAGATTGACGCGTCGGCATCGGAGTGGACCAATTACTTCAAGAGCGGCCTCAGGGGCGCCCTGGCGCTGCTCAGGCAAAAGGCCCGGGAGGCAGGTCAGGAGTTTCGCCCCTGCGACATGGACGTCATAATGGACGGAACCGTCCCCGTCGGCGGCGGTCTGAGCTCCAGCGCTGCCTTTGTGAGCGCCAGTGCCCTGGCCGTCATGACAGCCAACAGCCAGGCCCCTGTTGACAAGAAGGAGCTGACCGAGCTCGCTATCGTGAGCGAGAGATCCGTTGGCGTCTATTCTGGCGGGTGAGTGCTTGCTTTTCCGCCCCTCATGTATCCTGTACAAGTCGTATACATGCTTGTACAGCTGAATACTGTTGGCCATAGACTTCGTGGCGCTTTTATCACACCACTCCGCTAATATGCACATCCTCCAGCATGGACCAGGCCGCTTCTGTCCTCTCAGAACTTGGATCTGCCCTCTTTGTCTCTTTTAGCCCGCACCTCGATGCCAAGCCGGTCAAGTTCCCTCACACCAACCCAGAGTTGGGCTTCGTCATTGCCCAATCCTTTGTCACCTCGACAAAGCACGACACCGCTCCGACCCGCTACAACCTGCGAGTCGTCGAGTGCAGCCTGGCCGCTGGCTACCTCAATGCCGTGCTGAACCCACCGGGCACCACCCTAGCCCTCGACGCTGGCCCGCTGCGGACCAGCCTCAAAGGGTTCCACGATGTTTTCGCCGCCAAGTACCTCACCGGCATCGACCCAGAGGAGCAGCTCCAGCGCCTCATTCGTCTGACCGAGGATACACTCACCCAGGAAGAGGGCTACACCCGTGAGGAGCTCGCCCTGGTCCTCAAGGAATCTGTGGCGGCAGATCTCATCAAGATGGCGGCGGAACAAGGCTCGTCTACGGCCGTTGGTATCGAAGATGGCAACCTCGTAGCTAACTTGGAGAAACGATACATGTCCAAGTTTACTGTCCGCGCCGAGCGGTTCAAGATTCGTCAGCGTGCTCTCCATGTGTTCAGCGAGGCTCTCCGCGTCATGCAGTTCCTCAAGCTGCTGGAAAGCACCGACCCGGCCAGCGCTGATGTGAACCAGAAGCTTGGCAATCTCATGAACGCGACACAGGAATCTTGCCGAGAGCTCTACGAATGCAGCAGCCCTGAGATCGACGACATCTGCCGCATTGCGCGCAGTGCAGGAGCGTACGGCAGCCGATTGACAGGTGCTGGCTGGGGAGGCTGCACGGTGCACCTGGTGCCAGTGGACAAAATTGATACCGTCAAGGAGGCGCTCGAAAAGGAATACTATGCGACAAGACATCTCACCGAGGAGCAAAAGGCCCAGGCAGTTGTGATTAGTCGTCCGGCCAGAGGCAGCGCTATCCTGGTGGGACACGCGGGGTCGTTTGTATTGTAAATCAGGCTTCAAGAAAAATAAATTGATATTAAATGAATGTGCTCAATACCCATGACTACATCCATGTACCTGTGGCGATATGGCACAACTTCGTCTAGCGTGCAGATCGGCCGCCGTTGGCCTAGCCATTAGTATCAAACGAGTTCTCTTGACGACATTGCAGGCTAGCCAAAGTTTCATGTGATGCATTACTTCTGCCAATCACGATGCGGGCTGTTGGCCAGGTTGGCCGCGGATACGCAATCATGCCGTGGGGGTCTTCGATGCGAAAATTAGCATGCCCGCTATAATCTTAAAGGAAATGGCTCAGGACGAGTTGGCGAGCACAACGAGTCCCAACGATTGGCGCCGGTGCAGGAGGGCGGCTGCATTCCGCATCGTCTCTGCTGTTCAAAAATAAATGATGTTTCGCTCGGACAAGTCTCGGATAAGTCTTCGGATGCTGGTAGAGGCCAGCAGCACGAGCAGAGAGCCAAGGCCATCAGTGGCACCAAAAACACAATCCTTTTCAAGTGATTTCGCAAAAAATTGAGTGTTCAACCTCTCCGCATGAAATGAGACAACACGCCCTACATCCAGGTGAATTCGCAGCCAACGGCGGTCAACGGCGAGCATCACGAGGCCGAGATCCCGACCGTGCATGCTGTTCAGAACGCCACACAACGGCTAGTGACGCCTAAACAGGGCTCCCGGGCGCCATGTCGCAGTCAAGATGCGTAACTCTGCGTTCTATTGGCAGACTCTAGGAGGTGGTCGAGGAAGGTCGGCGACACCGTCAGTGAGGGGTGGATCCGAAAAGGGTAATGAATAGAATTCGCTTGCTATTGTTCTGCGCACGACCAGTGGAACCGGGTGCTGATCCGCCAGCCTTGTTGTAGGACAGAGCTGACAAACGATACAGGTGGTAATACAGGTAATGCAGGCCCGTTGACAATATGTGCGTCGATGGAATTTTCATCTTTCGAGTCTGAGATAAGATAAATTCAGAAGCCTCCAGTAGAAACGATGATTATTGCTCCTTCGGACCGAAATAGTATGTCGGGGTGAAACTGCGCTACTTAAGCCTGGCTCTAGTTCGGACCGTTGGCTCATCGACTCGGAGTCCGGTCTGGAGAGATGACTAGTTAGTGCAGGCATGTTAGCGCAAGATTATTTCCATAGATTTGTGGGGGTTGAACTTGTGAATACAACCTTAACAATCAATCGGCGCATCCGCAGACGGAGATCCGGCCAACAAGTGGAAGTGGCATGGTGGTCGTGTCTGACTTCTTCCAGACCCCGGATTCGGCATGAAATGAATTCTGCAGGAGAAACTTGGACTGTGCGTTCTGCAGCTGTTTGCGATGAACGAGGATAGCTAGAGTGGCGCTGTCGATAAACGACGATGGATGCTTTTTTCTCTTGCTTGGCTGTTGTTGATGAAGCAAATTGATTGCAGAGAATTCATGATGATGATGACGAGTCAAGAAAGTGTTTGCAATCAAATTTTCAAGTTGCCAAACGTCGAGTGTCCCACCCTATCTCGACTGCCAGCTGGCATGAGAAAACATGTCGGCCCCTCTCCATCATCATCCACCATCATCCACCACCCTCATCACCACCATTTTCATTCATCGTCATCACCCACATCATCCACATCATTCCACACACATCTATTCATCATTTTATTCCCCTCATCAGTAAGGCTATGCCCCCAATGACTTTTTCTATTGTCTCCACTGCTATTCAGCTTCTTCACTTGCATTAGTGTGCTTTTCGAGATGCATCGACCCTTGCACACGAACTCGCTTCTAGAATGCTTCCCCTAAGACACTGGCCCAGCTCGACACCGCCCCAACGCCATCATTCTCTCGAAATTGACGCATATTTGACCACCAATAGTCACGGCTTGCCGTATTCATCCTGTCACAAGGTGTCGCGGCCCACCGCGCCGCCGCCAATCCGTCTTGACTGGAGTCCAGTCAATTTGGGTGTGTTGGCCTGATCTCTGCCCGCCCCCCGCCGCTTTACCCTGGTTGGGTCAAAGCACACATTCCAAAAGACCCGTCGTGGGTTCTGTGTCCATTCAAATCGAGGGCACCCTTGTGCCTGATCGTTGTTTCCCATCCACAGACAGAGCCAACCAACCTCGAGCAATCTACCAAGACATATCCTGGGCAAGACTCGTGCCACTCGACTAGCCCTACTTCCAGCTTAGCGCAGACAGATTTTCTACACATTTGGGCTTTTTTTTGCTCCACACGAGGAAGGCGTCTACTTGACGTGGCTTGCTAGTCGTCTAGCCTTTCAATTGTCCGTCACGTCGAGGTACACTAAGGTACATCCCCTGGCCGGCCGGCCTCGCTGGTATCCGCCGGGAACGACGAATTCAAGTCGTAATCTAATCAGACTCTCCGTTATTCATAAGCCACCCATCTTCCGCGCGTGTTGCGCAGCCGGAGGTCTGGTTTGCCACACCCAACAGAACTTACCAACTCAACATCGCCAGTCTGTTGGTGGTCCGGCCTAAAGTATACACACATAGCCACCAGCAAGCCATCGCAGTGCCCGAAAGCAGTCAGTCAGATCGCCCCCTCGTAACCTCGATAAGAAGGGGCCAGGGCATAAAGCTAACTCGACACAAGGATACGCCTCCTGCGTTGTTTATATTACATACGAGGCGTCACTACATTTGCCACCGCCATTCGCGTCGAAACCTTCTTTCATCACTCTTAGCTGTCGACACAAAACTCAGTCATGAGACTGCCTACACCAAATTACTTGGCTGCTAGTTTTTACTCGGAAGCAAGCAATTTCCCACCAGCAGCTACAACACCTAGGTCGGCCTGCGCTTTCGAAGCCACCACCATGGGGGGAAACCCGGACCCAAGGAGTTCGGAGGAAATCCAGGAGATAATTGCGCAGTTGCTGCAAAAGTTGCCGCAGAATGAGCGTCCACAGGTTCTGCGCCGTCTGGTTGACATTTACGGCATCAGAGGTTCGCCAACCACTCGTACTTAGCGGCATCACGATGCTAACAAAGCGCAGAGACAAGTGACGAATTATCTGGAATCGCTTCAAACGGTCAACGTGCCAAGCGCGCGAAAAAGCCATCTCAAATCTCTCAAAGAAGCGCTGCGGGCGACTCTGCCTCACCCTTCTCTACCCCAGGAGCGGAACCGGTGCTGGACAAGGAAGGCCATCTTTGTGGTTTCTGTAAAGAGATGGACCATGTGGTCGTCTGCGCCAGGAAAAATGATTTGAAGCGGCACATGGGCGACTTCCATCACATTGTTACAGAGTTCATCTGCCCAGTGGAAGATTGCACGTTCAGGACCGAGTCGAAGAAACGATTTTCACAACACATCAAGATCGACGGACGTCACAAGCAAGTCGTTTCGAATAATGAGATGCATGTTCACGAGAATACCGTCTGCGAGCCATTTGTGTTTGCCTGTGGATTCGACAACTGTTCGGTGTTGTTGGAAGCCCCCCCTGAGGGTGACGGCGGCAAGACATTCCGAGAATATATCGAACATGTGATTAAACACTATGACGAAGAGAAGTGTGCCAATTGGTCATACTCGACGAGGATTCGAAATCTTTTGCGTCAGAGCCGCATGCAAGGGGCATTGCAAAACGTTGACCTGAGCAGCTTGGAATGGGGTTGGAACCGCTCCACAGACCTGCGGAGAGACCTGATCACCGGCACCATCGATAATAAGACAGGAATGTTGCAACGCGCAATCCACACATCAGGAAATCATGGAAGAGATGATATGCAGAGGAGACCGATGCTGGACATGCCGAGGACTGTGGCAGCACGACCAAAAGAAATAGGCAGGAGACGAAACCGCATCCGAAGGAGCCCAGTTAATGCAACCGCACCTGCACAATACGACTGCAGCTCGTCTTATCATACTCATATTCCTGAACCTCTCGCAGCTCCAGACATGGCCTTGGGGAGAAGTAGCGATCCTTCGCCCTCGCCAGTGACCTACCACAACGGTATGCACACTACTCCACCGACAACGATGGGAGAGGTGATGCATCACGTATACGCGGGAGGCTCATCAGAGGTTTTTATGGGAGCTGATGTCAGTCCGCTTGATCCTCAATTGTACCCTGGTGTGCCTGCGCAGCACGGATATCCTTCGCAGCGCGAATTGCCGGCCTTTGGCATGCACGATGGGTATGCCATGATAGATGTTGAGACTGGATTTTTACGGCCGGGCATGAACAATCACAAGTTCTGAATCCGACGAGCACCGATTTCGCAGCCTGCTCTACATTATTAGACACTGCTGTCGGTTTTGAATCACCTCGAGCCCAATTGCGATGCTCTGGGTAAGTTGCTGGAACATATGAAGCAGTCTGCTCGCGCAGCCCGTTCGCACGGTTACACTGCTGACAGAACTCTGTTGATGGAGTTTTTTCTTTTTCTTTTTTTGAATGGAGGTTTTTTTTGTTGTTGGCTCGATTCCCCTTCTGTTTTGAACCGTCTTCTTCTCTTGATATATTGTCTGCTTTTATGCGTGACGCCCCTTCTATGTTATATTCTATAGACCGGAACGGCAATGGTTCCAACATCGCAAGCCTTTGAATAATGAACAAGCTCGAAGGGTTATGACTATATAGAATCGGTTAGCAACAATGCTGGACAGCGGCTTGAATTGGTTTGGGGGTTGTTTGTTGGAAAGCGAATAGTGATAATATTCGCTTCGTTTGAAATGGTGCGGCTGTATTTGATTTGGAGGGTCAGTTTCAGGTTAGATTCGTAACCGAATAGCAATGTGTACAAGTACATGACTTTTAAGTGTGCCTTACTTTGAACTCAATAGAAGAAGGTTGATTACGTGGAAGGGAAAGTGGATGGTACAGCTGTAAGTTTACCGACACAAGTTGCACAAGATTGGCGCCAGGCGTGAACGTGATCATCGTCATGCATAGCTTGCGACCGGACGGATCATGCGGCTGTGCCGGACAAAGAAACCGTGAAGAAATGCGCGCCCAAAATTAGACACGCATGGCAAAGGCTAATTCCTCGGCGTGTATCACGAGTTGGGTCGACCGGTCGAGTCGAAACACGGGGGTGTAATGCAAATCCATCTATTTTGGGGGGAGAGGGGGGGGGGGGCGCCAACAAAGAAGATGTATCGGGCATATTGCAAGCGAACCCTCTCCCCGCCCCTTTTTCCTTTTCTCTGCCGAAAGCAAACAAATGATAAATCAAGAAAGATGTGGTTGGGCGCTTTATCGGGGCGTGGGTTTGCCAATGTGTCAGTTATGAGAAGAAATGCTTCGGCTGCCGATCACTGTGGGGGAGGTGATTGGGCGCAGAGGCCTTGCGGACGGGAGAGATGGGAGTGGAAGGAGCTTGTAAATATTGAGCGATTTATGATGCAATGACTGGGGACTGTGAGATGTCGGGGGAAAAAGGAAAGATGGCTATGTAAGTTAATAAGTTTGGCCGATATTGCTAGTTACGAGAAGAACCACTGAGAGGGAACGCCCATGAGTCGTGCAAGTCGTGTGTTGGGTGTTCCGGGATGACGTTTTGCACGTCCCTTTCTTCTTAGAGCCTGATTGCCTAGCCCATGTCGCATATTGGCCGAAGATGGATTGCCAGAAATAACAGGAAAGAATCTTGCTAGAAACTGGCTAGAATGAATGGAATCCGGAGGGCACGTTCGCCCATGGACCATCATCATGCAGGGGGGGATGCAATGCCCACAGCCCACAGCCCGACAGCCACCAGTCCTCGAGCAGTGGCGAAGATGTGCCCATTTTCATTGGGGCCCTGTTTGCTTGAGACACACGCTGCTCGCATGGTGCAGCTTGCGTCGGCGAGGCCGTCGCATCAAGAAAGTGACCACTGACGAGCGAATGGGAAGTTGCTCTTTGTAAAAAGGCACTACCAGGTTATCAGGGAACAGGGGGAGGGAGAGCACTATGGGGGGGAGGGGGGAGCGCAGCCCTCCTTCTTGTGGGTGATGGCTGCTGAGTTTAGTTACTAATAGTTGACCACTTGACCACTCGCAATGTTGATGAAATGATGAGACCATGACTGACGGCGTGAGCAGGCTGTGCCGTGCTGCATCTGACGGGCTTGGCTGGCTGTGCTAGTGAAGGCATTGCAAAGTATTGGATGGCTTCACGCATTCAATAGTGTCGGATATTTAATAGGGAGAATGGCGATATTTGCTCCGGGAGAGGACATATTGGTCATTGCTCGCGCCATGGCCTGCATCGTCTCGAGGCTGTTCGAGTGATTGATCCTGAGCCACATGAAAAAGCACCAGGCAAGATGAAAGGACAACAACCACATCACCCCCGCGGGTAGTTAGGGCACGGCAGACGGAAGACGGCAAAATCATGCGAGGCGTTCTCTGAGCGTTAGGCGGTCTTGAGGGATGGTCATGATGAGACATTCAGCTTCTGAGTCTAATCTGTACCAGTAGTGGTCTCATCATGGTGTGCCGGTCGGGTGATGCCATTCGCGCAAAACAAGACCCAAGGCCAGCCACTTTCTGTAAAGTTGTGAGTGGCCCAGTCGGGCGAGGCATGGATGGTGGAGGGCGCAGGGCAACAAGCCGGGCAGGGGTCGCGATGGTGGCTGGCTTGGTGTTGTCAGTTGATTGATTGAGGGGTGATGCAAAACCACACAAAGACGCCGTTTTGCTGGGCCATGAATCGATAAATGCTGAACATGTGGTGTTTTATACAGTGTAACACATGGCACATGGAAAACCACCGCCTTTTTGGCGCAGCCTTGTACGAGTTGTACGAGTTGTACAAGTTGTCCGAGGCGTGGCGCACAATGGGCAGGGAACAACGACATCAGATGCATCCGATGCCTGACTAATAAAGGCAATATTTACCGTAACTACCTAATTAACCCGCAAGCGCACACGGTGCTCCGGACAACACGTCAAGTGACTGCCGACAGTCTGCAACGGGCCGTCAAAGGCTTGCTTCGTGCCACGTCGGGGATTTTCATTCTGCAACGACCACCAAAAAAAGGGGGCCTCGACATCTCCCTGGTGACTTGTCTTTCTCAATGTTGATGCATTGCATGACTCCACGACGCTAACAAATGAGGCTTATTCGATTCGCTTCTCGCTTCCTTTACTGGCAGTTGACTATCCTGGCCACATCTGCCGTTTGACAACGACGAACAAGATTCTGCCAGGTCAGACTGGCGAGCTGGGAGTCAACCTCACGCAGCCTTGCACGCCCACAGACATCGGACACCAGTTTCCCCATTCGGATTCGAACCAAAAGGTGGCGTGCCGTGGCTGCGACTCTTCAATCATTATTAGCACCCTGACACGCCTGATGAATAGCGTTGGTGTGTTGGGTTGTACCCTGTTTGACGAGGTGGTGTGACTGGCACGACTAGGTTCGAGCGAACCACACACCTCCCACGCCCCCCGCGCTGGTCAATGTCGACGATGATTATTATCAGATACCGTCATTGCCGCGCAACATGTGCTTTGCACATGGCCGTGGCTTTCCGTACAGACATACTACAGGAACATGGCCGAGAGCAAGCACGAAAAGCTACACCATTCTGTCCCGGCATGCTCCCGCCCATAACCACAATGCACGAATACCAGCCGTGAGAGATCCAGTGCCGTATCGCCGGATGCACGTCTACGTTGAGCACGATATATTACCTTTCAAGCAATACACCGTTTCAGGAAGGAGAATCTCGCAATCACATTCATCGTCGACGCAGGATCGAGCGGTGAGCGGTGGAGCGAACACGATCGAGGCACCAGGGTCTGCAAGCGCGACCACTCCACATGGTAGCATTCGTGAATCGTTGGGCTCTTGAATTTGAATTACTTGCACCACGACACACGACTCCACGCTAACCTGGCAAAGCAGCGTGCCAACTCGTAATGCGCTATTTTACCCTTCTCTGTCACTGATTGTGTTAGTACCTCGGACCGCAGATGCTGGCCGCGGTGGCTTCGGGACCCAGCCGCTGGGCGGGCTCCTACCTACTGATCGACAAGCATCCTCATCAGGCTCTGGCTGCCAGGCTGGTCACTGACGAGGAGTTGATCAGCGATAGACTGTTTGGCGACTCAGTGCTCTGGTACGCCCACAGATAAAGAAACGGCCCCAGACTCAGTGGGCACTTTCAAAGCGCCACACGACTATTTTCAAATGGCCTTGTGGCTCAAGCTGCTGCTTGCTTTGACCAAGTGCAAGACGAATACAGTTGAAATGGACCTTTGTTTACGTTAGTGCACAGCAAGTCCAACGCCTCTCCCACCGTTTCTTTGAAGCAGCAAGCACGTCGCACATCTTTCTGCAGTAGTGTCTGCTATTTTTGCAGCCAGCCAGTACAGGCGTTGCCGAGACTGCCGTTGTACCGAGATTGATCAAACATTAATAAAAAATACACTGCGCATCGAGCTTCAACTTGGTCAATGAGAATTCTGATCTGCCGGCCCGCGGAGCTCGAAACGTTCATGATCCACACCACCGCTATTGTTAGTGCCGACCTTGTGCTTGCAACTTGGCCTGTACATGTCCGCCGCCCCTCGGCAGGCCTTCCGTGCCCCAGCACGAATGAGCTTCTGTACAACTCTGCGTGACATGACGGCTGCGAACTGGAGGCATCTTGTGCATGCCCGACGGACGGCCACATGGCCATTGTTCCTGAGCGAGTAACCAGAGTCCGTTTCACACGTCCGAGCAGTCGGGTCGCATCCCTACGGTTGATGCCGTCCCTGAATAAAGGCCGTTCAAGGAACCCGACAACGGGCCGATCTACGCACTGAACAAGCAACGGCGAAGAGCATGGCCACAAAGGACCGACTGTGTTGAAAAACTTCAGACCGTCGTGCGCGGGTGATTCGGTGCTCGCCCAAGCCATGATCATGCTAGCGCAGTCTTTCCTTGGACCATGACAAGGGTATTCGGTACGAGACAGACGGTGCTCTCACACTGCCTCTCAGGTTCTTAGCAGAGTGTCAAGACTCGAGCCCACTCCAACTGGGATCCGTCCGGACGTAATTTGCCAACACACAAAAGACGACACCATTGGGCTAATCCTAGCCTGGCGTCGCGGGAGTGACTCTGGTTGGCTCGCGACAATCCAAACTAAAAAAAAGCGCCATGCAACGCCATTTCGTCCCTCTCACTGCACACCCACTTCAGCCACTCTGGACACGCACAGACTCCGTCAGCGGGCCCATCATCATGGGTGGCCTGCCGACGCTACGTTTCAGGATGGCCTTGGTCTGCGGTGAGAAATGATTTGGTTCCTGAAACGGGGCATTTTGGGCCTTGCGAGGTCGCGAGGCAGGGGGATCATGGTCTGTATGGGTGACACCAATTCGACACCCATCTCGACCCAGGCGAGAGGGGCCGCATGCCCACCTCTTCTTTTTTATTTTTTTTTTTTATTTTTACGACGAAACCTTGCCTGCTGGTCCTGTGGTCGCCTGCCTTCCTTGTCTTCCTTGCGTGCCCTTGCCGCACTTTGCTTTTCCCTGCTGTTCTGCACCGGGTTTCGTCTGCTCTGACAAGAGGGAGTTCTTCTTTCAGATATTCTAGAAGCCCTTCGCTTCGCCCCGGTTTCCGCTCTTTCATCACCCCCCGGCGACGCGGTCCCTCTTATTACTGCCCGTCCCCCCCCTGGCCTGTGTACTCCAAGACGCCGACGGCTACGCCCTCAACGTCGCTCCTTCAACACTTCTCAGCCTTTCCATCTCAAAGCAGTGCCTTTGATCTAAGCGACTTGCATTTGAACTTTCGATTTGAACTTGCCTCCGTCAGCATCACTTCCAAGGGCCAGGACAGCATCTCTCGAATCACCCGTCGTCGACTCGCTTCGGCTCGACTCGACGGAGTGATTTCACGACGACAATATTATCTGCGCGTGCGCCTCGTCCCCTCTCGCGCTTCACTATCTCGTGGTCATCTATTTCGTTGGATTTTCCGCCTGCGACCATCTTAACAGATATACCCAGCACGTCACGAGACGATATTTCCCCCCCTCCGGCGCCGACCACGACATTTGCTTCATCACCTCAGAATGTTTCCATTCAACGGCCACGAGGAGAGTGGCCCTCAACCTCTGACAGATGAAGACCACCAGCTTTTGAGCTCGCTGGTGCAAAAGTATGGACACTCTAGCATCATATATGCCTTGACCGGCTATGGAGAGTCTTGTATGTATCTGCTTCACGCCGCCAAGACCGCAGCTAACCTTTCAGCCCGTGCCTCCATTTTCTCTGCCAATACACTGATGAGCAGCGCTGCCGCAAGCATGAGCGCGCCCTCGCTGGCATGGACGAGTTCTGAAGCGTCTCAATGCCGGTCCGACGGAGCCTCCATTCACACACAGCACACATGGCCCGAAGTCGTTGCCGAGATGCCTCCCATGCACGACGCGGAAGCCGGAAAACTCGCGGAGCGCTCATGGCTCGATTCCCCTGCTCCCGTGCCGTCGCCCATGACTGCCGAGGGAGCCTCTCACCCGTCACCACGACTAATCGCCCCAACTGGCAAAAAGTACCAGTGCCCCATGTGCTACCTAGACAGCAGCCCTGTTGGCTTTGGACGCAAGAGCGACTTCAAGAAGCATCTCCACAACTTTCATGGATCGGATGTCGTCTGGATCTGCCACACCAAGGGCTGCCATATGTCCTTCTCTACTGAGCGCGCCTACAGCACGCACGCCAAGGAAGCCCATCGCATGAAGGCCTTGCCAAACAGCACTGCTCGCACCGACCTGTGCCCCCAGGTTGTCTTTCCCTGCGGGTTTGCGACTTGTCGCGATCGTCTCTTCGAGGCTGCCACGCCCGAAGATGCTTCGGCCACGCGCGACAAGCACTTTGAACACATTGCCAAGCACTTTGAAGACGACTTTGACGTGAGTGACTGGGAGTATAAGGTGCAGATTCAGAATCTGCTGAGACAACAACAAGTCAAGTCGGTGTGGAAAACGTGCATCTGGCCCAAGGAGAAGCGTCAGCAGCTGCAATGGCGTTCACGATCGTCAGGAGAGCTCAAACGCATGTTGGAATCTCGCCATCTAGGATCTGATGTCTCTCAGATTGTTCGCCTCGCATTTATCCTGGGCAATGCGCCCTTCTCGACTTCCGGTGCGGCCCCTCCCGGCGAGCTCGAGTCGTACTTTCAGCTTCCCTACCGAAACCAGTGCCCCGACGATGCGCCTACGCAATCTGTTTCTCCGCCCGATGTCAAAGGCGAGGAGGACAGCTCGTCCACATTTAGCTTTTCCAAGTACCGATCTAGCACACAGACGGTATTTAGACTGTCGGGGCGCAATTCAAAGAGAGCGTCTCGACCACCGACACCGACACCCGTGACGGACATGGCCACGGACACAGTCATGGCAGAGGATGGTGGTGCGGCCGGTCCGCACCCTGGCACGCCATTCCAGATTCCAAACGAGACGGTGTGGCCCGTGGACGCGCCCAAATTTGCGCCGGAGCAGCCGGTGATGCACAAGCCGATGGAGCAGCCGATGGAGAGCCCGATGATTTATCCGCTGCAGGGCCAGGACCAGTCGTACGCGACGTGGACGGGCATGGATACGAGCATGACGCACATGGACGCGATGCACCACCAGATGGACGGGATGCCCATGCACTACCACGCGCACGCGCAGCATCCGAACCAGCACGTGCAGCTGGGCAGCAACGGCGGCGGGCTGTACAACAACAGCAACCACTATGCCATGAGCGCGAGCCCGACGTCGACAGTGATTCGGCCCGGAACGCCGACGCCTCACAAGCGACCTGGGTCGTGGAGCCGCGTGATGAGCATGGAGAGCCTGCGGCCGAGCAAGAAAATGCCGCCGCAGGACATGGGCGGCATGATGTCGACGCCGATGGGAATGTAAACGATGCCAATGTTCTGACGTGAAGCCCTCTGAACGTTTTCTTTTCTTCCCTGCATTGTCATACTCGCCTTTGACGCGAACGCGCACATGCCTCTCGCACCGATTTTATATATTATCTTTATACGCCTCATACTTGGACTATTTGTCCGTATACCACCCCCTCACCGGAACATGTTTCTTACCACTTTGTTTTTTTTTTCTTGTCTTTTTTTTCTCATGTTTCTTGTCCGTCTGTGAACAGGGAACTCCATGTGCGCGGCAGCTGAGACGATAGCTTACATCTAATACTGGCACAAATTGGGGGCTGCTTTTCATTCTTCTTCTGGGAATATTGGGCTTTGCTTGGCCGTTGCTTTTTCTATACCACTCGGGTTTATTTGTTCTTTGATTTATTCTCACATCTTTCAAGATACCATTCATCGCGTTTTTTTTGTTTTGTGGTTTACGAAATCGCATTGCGTAAGAGCTGAGAAGAAGCAGTATTGGGGAAAAGTAAAGGCATTTTTCTTACATTGGAGAGGAGATGGATGGGTGGTGTTCATAGGCGAGCTGCATTTGGTGGCTTGATAGGAAACAGAAGGTGACGAATAAACCACATTGATGATAATTGAGTTACAAGCTAATATGAATCTCGTAATGGCATCAGCACATGTGACATCTGTTTGGTTATGTGATGCGTTGGTCTAAAGAGGCAAACTAGTGGTGCATGGACTGGTCTATGCAGATGAATCCGGGATGTGAGCTACTTTGTGACGATTGATGTAGAAATGCCGAATACAAGATGCTGGGACCTGAATATGGTGGCAGACGGACTTAATGATGATGATTGTGGCTTTGGTGCATTGATTCATATGTACTTTTGTGATGTTTGTAGTTTGATCAAGAGATTCGAGGTGCAGAGTGGATACAATCGTGATGGGCAGAGATCTAACACCAAATGTGAAAAGCATGATGGATACCTGATGCTGGGTAGGCCTTTTTATAGCGGTATAAAGTACATGATCATATAACTATCACATATCTCAACGAATGCAGAGATGATGGGATCGGATGGCATTGGTATGAATCAATTTGTACATGCTGCTGCTGTTCGCGTGCCGGTGTCGGACGCATGCCCGCCCCACGAAGCGCTGGAGCGGAACAAGTCCGATAGCGGGGACGCGACTTGCGGGGGATGGAAATTGGATTTCAAGGGATTGGCCATGAACTAGAAGAAGAGGAAAGCAAAGACTTGGAAAAAAAGAATTGTGCGTTGGGGGTGATTGTCGTCTACGGGAATAATATGAACATGATTCAGACAAGGCTGGGCACTTGGCAGAAGATGTTGGCAACGACCTCGAGGCGTTGAGATGTGGACGGTGCCACCGCCGTTTTGTCGTACCGGTACAGGTGACTTGGCTCAGGCATTATCAGATGGTGACATGTGACTTGTGAGGCCCGTGCCGAAGCCGCCGATGGCCAGAAAATATATGCTGTCCAGTGAACTATACTGTATATTAAAATGTGATATACTTTGTGCTCATGACGGGCGATGAATGGATGGTCTTTGTCGGTCAAGTTCATGTGGTAGTGTTGCAGCTAGCGTCGCTGGGACAGCCTTGCAGGGGCATTTAGCAGGCTGGTGATTGGATGGCTGGCTCCGAGGCCGCAGCTTGCAGGGGGGCAGGACCATGTGAAGATGGACGTGCTAACTAGTAACTTCAACTAGTAAGTAGGTTGGTGACTGGAGATGCTGGTGAGTCTGGTTCTTGATGATGAATTGGCAAGTTTGGGTGTCTTCGGTGTATCTAGAAGTGATTATTTTGTAGATTTTCCTGCTTTTTCTGTTCCTCTTGAGTATTTGTCGGCCAACGACAGCCCACATTGAAATGACTTTATTGATGCGAGCACCCGACCCTTTCTTGTCCACCTTTTTTTCGTCGTATTTTACCATTAATACCAACTTTAACAGATTGCCCCCAGTGAACAAGTTTGGGTCTAGATCTGCCTCCGGTCGCGCGCCCCCCGAATGAGTCTAAACTTTCCCAAGGGTGGGCTGACTCAAAACGATGCGTACAGCGGCCGGCGTCCGCTGTAAAATCCGCACTTGGCGCCAGAAGCCCCCGCGAGTCCCCCGAAATCTCCAGCATCGAACTTGTACTAGGTCAGACCTCTTTTGCCACCCGTTTTTTTTTAGCCTTTTCTTCCTCTTCTTTTTCCAATTCCGCTCTTCCCACAACCATTTTCATCCCCAGAAAGTCTTTCTTGACGGTTTTTTGATTCCAATCGAATCAAATTAGGCGGGTTCAAGCTTGAACCGATCATTCCTTTTTTCTGCGGTTCCTGAGCTTCACTTCACCATGCTCCGAACTCGCCAGGCCACAAAGGCCTTCCAGGCTTTGGGTCAAACGCGCTCGTTTACCTCCACAACCGCTCCCGTCACCTCGCGAGCTCAAAAAAAGCTGCCTCTCTCCCAAAGGAACAAGGCCACTGCCGCCACCGCCTCATCCTCTGCCAGGTAGGTCGACATGTTTCTTGCCATTGCTCCTCGTGTTGGTGCGCTCCTATACCACACCACACCTCTTCTCCGCAGAGTCGCAGCCGGCATCGGCGACAACAACACGATGCCCTCTTGTGCCTCATGATACCCCGACAAACACACAGTCTTTGTATAATCTCCTTCAGCTCACCATGCTAACATTCTCAGCACCGTCCGCGCCGTTCCTAGTCCCGCCTTCAATGCTCAATCACAGGGCCATGTTCAGCCCCTCGTTAATCCCCGGAAAAGCGAAATGGACGAGTCCTTCATTGGCAAGTCCGGCGGTGAAATCTTTCATGAAATGATGCTGCGCCAGGGCGTCAAGCACATCTTCGGTTATCCCGGCGGCGCCATTCTCCCCGTCTTTGACGCCATCTACAACTCATCCCACTTCGACTTTATCCTCCCCCGTCATGAGCAGGGTGCCGGCCACATGGCCGAGGGCTACGCTCGCGCTTCTGGCAAGCCCGGCGTCGTCCTCGTTACCTCAGGTCCCGGCGCCACCAATGTCATCACGCCGATGCAGGACGCCTTGTCCGACGGCACCCCTATGGTCGTCTTTTGCGGCCAGGTTCCTACCACCGCCATTGGTAGCGACGCCTTTCAAGAAGCCGACGTCATTGGTATCTCCCGCGCCTGCACCAAGTGGAACGTCATGGTCAAGAGTGTCGCCGAGCTGCCCCGCCGCATCAACGAGGCTTTCGAGATTGCCACCAGCGGCCGTCCCGGTCCCGTCCTCGTCGATCTGCCCAAGGACGTTACCGCCGGCATCCTGAGACGCGCCATCCCCACCGACGCGGCCCTGCCCTCTCTACCCTCGGCGGCCTCTCTCGCCGCCCTTGAGATTGGCGACCGTCTCCTCCAGGCCTCGATCCACCGCGTCGCCGGCCTCGTCAACAAGGCCAAGAAGCCCGTCATCTACGCCGGCCAGGGCATCATCCAGTCCGCTGGCGGGCCCGAGATCCTCAAGCAGCTCGCCGACAAGGCCTCCATCCCCGTCACCACCACCCTGCAGGGCCTCGGCGCCTTTGACGAGCTCGACGAAAAGTCCCTTCACATGCTCGGCATGCACGGCTCCGCCTACGCCAACATGGCCATGCAGGAGGCCGACCTCATCATCGCCCTCGGCGCCCGCTTCGACGACCGCGTCACCGGCAACATTAGCAAGTTTGCCCCCGGCGCCAAGGCTGCCGCCGCCGAGAAGCGCGGCGGCATTGTTCATTTTGAAATCATGCCTAAAAATATCAACAAGGTCGTCCAAGCCACCGAGGCTATCGAGGGCGACGTCGCCGCCAACCTGCGCTACATGATGGATGCCATCGAGCCCAGGTCCATGGCCGACCGCCAGTCCTGGTTTGGCCAGATCAACGAGTGGAAGGCCAAGTGGCCGTTGTCCGACTATGAGCGCACCGAGCGCGGCGGCCTCATCAAGCCCCAGACCGTCATTGAAGAGCTCAGCAACCTCACGGCTAATCGCAAGAGCGAGACGTACATTTCCACCGGCGTCGGCCAGCACCAGATGTGGACGGCCCAGCACTTCCGCTGGCGCCATCCTCGCTCCATGATCACCTCGGGCGGTCTCGGCACCATGGGTTACGGCTTGCCCGCGGCCATTGGCGCCAAGGTTGCCCAACCCGACGCCCTTGTCGTCGACATTGACGGTGACGCCTCGTTCAACATGACTCTCACCGAGCTGTCCACCGCGGCCCAGTTCAACATTGGTGTCAAGGTCATTGTCCTCAACAACGAGGAGCAGGGCATGGTCACGCAATGGCAGAACCTCTTTTACGAGGACCGCTACGCCCACACGCACCAAGCCAACCCCGACTTCATCAAGCTCGCCGAGTCGATGCACGTCCAGTGCCGTCGCGTGTCGGACCCTGCTGACGTGGTTGCCAGCCTCCAGTGGCTGATTGACTCGGACGGTCCGGCTCTGTTGGAGGTGATGACGGATAAAAAGGTGCCTGTCTTGCCCATGGTTCCGGCTGGTTCGGCCCTGCACGAGTTTCTCGTATTCGATGGAGGTGAGTACAGTCGGTTACGATGCTAAAAGTCTTCGCACTGTGCGACGCATGCTGACAATTTTCAGACAAGGACAAGGCGCGCCGCGAGCTGATGAAGCAACGGACATGCGGTCTGCACCAGTAGGACCGCCGAGTGGATGCATCAAAACGTAATTGTGTCTATTTCTTTGTTATTTAGGTCAAGCTGTAGCTTGTCTGGCGTTGGGGGGACTATTCGTCCAGCCTTGTAATATTCATTAACATGCCGCGGGCGATGCTTTTGTCCAAAATTGGGATCTTGAATACTTAACTATGAATGTTGTTGTTAAAGTTATGGGTATAATTTTGCTTAGATCCCCTCGTTGATGAGCCTAGAGGAGACTAGAACACGTTGTCGTGTTGTAGGACGATACGTAGAAGGAGCAAAAACATGTGTGCTGAAAAGTGAGTGGGATGTAATGGTTATATCAGCTGCTGTAGCTGATCTCGCGGCGGCAGGATCGTGTGGGGCAGCTCGGGTAGAAGAGGGTATTGCGGGCATGCCTGTACAGCACAATGGCTCGCTAATCTGGCATGACTACGATTGATGAGTGATGGAGATTGAACTTCCTAATTTGGCGGTGTCAAAGGTGGCTGGTTGGCGGGCGTGGCGGCGTCATTTGACCCGACACGATTGGGACAGTACCGGTACGCGGCAAAAGTAAACCGAGAAGGTGCGTGGATAGTGGTAGACCGAGATCGAGGCGGTTCCTGAGAAGAAGATGGGATCCGGCCAAAGAGACGACTTGATGTGGAGGATGGCGACAATGCAAGACGAGCATCTAAAGTCGGCATTTCGTGGAAACCAGGTAAAACAAGCAGTATCAAATACTGTCTGCAAGTCTATGCGAGGCACCACAGTTTTACATCGGTATAAGCAATGCTTTGACGGGATAAAAGTTTTGAAAATGACAATTAAAAGCTCATGCTAATCTAAAACGTGTAATTGGAAACTCATTCTGAACCATATGCATCATATCTGAGTCTACTAGTCTATGTCAGCCAACGCCAAAACGCAACGCCATGCAAAATGTCTCACGTGCCCTCATCCTCCTTCTCCTCTTTTCTTTTTTCTTTTTATTTCTCTGGCCTCTCCTGCGTCTCCGCCTCGCTCAACGCTGCCTTTTCATCCGCCGTCAGCGTCGCGTTGGCCGTTCCAATCTTGATAGTCGCCGTCAGCACCAACGCCAGCGCCGACAGTCCGACACCCAGGAAGAAGCCAATCTGCAACTGCTTCCGCGGCCCGAGCCGCTCAGCGCCCTGGGCCTGCACCGACGCCGACACGGCGAGCTCAGCGATGCCGAGCCAAAAGGCCTGGCCGAGGTACAGCAGGCTGTTGATGAGGCCCGACGCGGCGTTTTGGTGGCGGTGCGGCATGGCCGTCGTGATGAAGACGTTGGTCACGTTGAACATGATGTCGACGCCAATGGTGCCGCACAGCATCGCGGGGAAGATGTAGGCCCAGTAGAGCTTGGACGTGGACATGACGCCGCCGGAGCCGGGCGTCTGGTCGGGGATCAGCGGCGGCAGCAGCACGCAGATGAGGAAGCCGACGGTGGAGATGAGCAGCAGGATGCGGTTGGGCAGCATGTGCATGATGAAGCCGCCCGTGACGGCGAGAATCATGCCGCCGACGGCGAGGGGCGTGAACCAGGCGGCGGTGAGGATGGGCGACGTGTGCAGCACCGTCTCAATGTAAAACGAGACGTAAAACAGAAACAGACCAAACGTGCCGTACGCGAAGAACAGCACCGCGCACAGCCGCTTCATATATTTCGGCTTGAACAGCGCCGGCGGCAGCAGCGGCTGCGCCGCCACCCAGCCCTGCACGTACACGGCCGCGCCGAGGAACAGCAGCCCGATGACGAGGATGACGTAAATGTAAGGCGTGCGCCACCCTTGCGGCGCCTGCCCGCCGTCCGTCAGCGCAAACACGACGAGCGTCAACCCCGGCACAATCGTCGCCGCGCCGAGCCAGTCCATCCGCACGCTCGGGTCCAGCGGGTGCAGGTCGCGCGGGATGCTGAGGAAGCCGGCCACCACGATGCCCGCGACGACAATGGCGCCGATCCAGAAGAACCAGCGCCAGCTGAGAAACTGGGCCGTCACCGCGCCCACCAAGATGCCGACATAAAAGCCCACGCACGCCAGCGCGCCCCAGACGGCAAACACGAGGTTCTTGCGGGGGCCCGGCCGGTACGTCTGCCCGAGCAGCGCCAGACCCGCGGGCACAAACGCGGCCGCGCCGACGCCTTGCATCGCGCGGCACACAATCAGCATGATGCCGTTGCGGCTGAAGCCGCCGACGAGGCACCACACGCACATCCAGGCGTGGCCGCCGAGGAAGACGCTGCGCCCGCCGTACATGTCGGCGAGGCGCGCAAAGACGAGCAGCAGCGCCGCCGTCGTCAGGTTGATGGCCGAGGCGGGCCACGTGCGCTCCGAGTCGGCCATGCCGAGGTCAGCCGACACGGGCGGCAGGATAATGTTGAAGCCCGAGATCCAGTACTCGGACATCATCATGGACGAGACGACCGTCACCACAAAGGCAATCTCGGACCACCAGCTGCCGAAGCAGGCGGGGCGGACGCGCCCAAGACGCTCGATTTCGGCCGCGGAGAGGAGGGCGTCCTTATTGCTGCTGGTGTTGTTGGAGGATGAGATGGCTTCGGCGTTGGCTTCAGCGTCGTCGTCGCGGCGTTGTGAAACGCGAGAGAGGAACTGTACGAGGGTGTGGCCGCCGTCGGGACCGCCGTCGGGCGCCATGACGGGTTGTTGGCAAGCCATGATGTTCGAGAGTGTGTCAGAGCTTGGATATCAAGGCATCAGAGGTCTTTTTTGTGTCTCGTACGATTCGTCCTGACGTTGGGCTTTGACAGAACAACCGTTGCCAAGTCTTGGTGCTTGGCAGACGAACAAAACGGTTGGGAAGGCGACATGGCGTCTTTATATACAGAGGTTCTCACGCAAGTCATGTACCCCACTCTAAACACTGGACTTACATCTCGTGTGTCACTGCAGTTCATTAATAAAGAAAAAGGCTTTTTCTTTAGTCTCCGATACCATCTCCGGTTGCCCACCCTCACGTGTGGGTTTCGCCTGCGAGGCGTGAGCGCCAACCGCCCCATTCGGGTAGCATCTGGAGCTGCCGAACAACCGCACTTGCGTGCCCCTTCAGATGTGCCCTGAAAGAGAAAGTTTAAAAAAACGAAGAGGCAAGGGCTAAAAAAATCTCTTCACTTTGACATCTCGAAAAGTTACCAAATCGAGTCAAGATCCATAAACGCCTCACTAGTTCGTTCATACAAAGGCCCAATCAGCAGCCAGAAATTTTCTCACATGGGTCCCTCATCATGTCTCTTGGCTGCCTATTTGGGCTTAGTCTTTCAAGCATCACGGCCAACAGCCATGAACAGAACTTTTGTAACATGCCAAGCAATGCCCTATTTCGAACAATTGTTTATAAGCAAATATGATAAATACATTTCCATCATTTCCATCAATTCTCATTTCTTTTGCCATGTTTTCTTACCAATCAGCCGTCGAGTGGTGTCGAACTCGATGCCTCCCGGCCGCTTCTCGCGCCCGGCGCCCGCGCGCCCCCGAGAGCCTGCCTTCGCGGCATTGGTCAGACAGCAAACTCTCCACAGATGCTGCCAGAGCCCATTCATTGCAACATCTCTCTCAGTGTATACTCTGTTCATTGGACTCTTGTTCGAGTCAAGGAGTCGTAGATCGAATCCAAAGGTTACACAGATGCATCTCTACATCGGGTAACGGCACCAACTCCCCGTCCGAGCGCGCTGCACACGTAGTGACGCGCAAAGTCTGAGGCTCTGCCCACCTTCAGTGTAGTGTATACAAGCTTTGCGGATCTCGGCATCAGAGCGGTTTCGATGCAAACTTGCTCGTCCCTCCAGATGTGCCGTCCATCCGACAACGCACCACGACTGACGACGACGATGGCGCAACGTGGCCGCGGAGTGCGAGCAGATCAAGCACACCTACTGCAAAGACATGTGCAGTGAGGCCATCAAAGGAATAGCCGAGCATCATTGAATCGTATGAATGCCGGACGTACTCTCAACGCCGCCATGTCCACCCCCGCCAAACCGCCATCGACATGCCTCCAGATTGGGCCACCAGCGAGATGCAACACTAGCCTTTGTCAATGGCTGGCCTCCTTAGTATATACAAGTAACCTTGCCTCTTGCTACTTGTCATGGCAGCTCAGCCTGTTCACCCGTGGTTAGCATCTCGGTGTTTGTCGGTATTGTCCATTGACCTTGACCGACCGCCAGCTTCATACACTTCACAAACGTTCCGACCGCGTGCATTGGGTAAAATATGTTACATTATTCGGGTATTAACACTGAATTCAACCTCCACATTTGTACATGCCATCGTCACCTTACGTCACTTATGTTCCGTCCGCGTTCGGCTATCCCGCCTACAGAAGCATCTGCGCGGCAGCAACCAATGCAGCAGGCACGGCATACATCAGGCCGGTCGACACACCAGCGGCGGCGTTTTGCTGGCCACCGGCCGACGGTGTGGGCGAGGTGCCTGAGGTAGGGCTCGTGTTGCTGTTGCCGCCGCCGCTGCTGGTGGGACTGGCAGTGGTCGTCGTCATCGTCGTCGCTGTCGTGTTGTTGCCGCTACCACCGGTGTTGTTGCCCTTGGACTTGTTGTACCCATCAATGACAAAATTCATCATCTGTTTGGGGTAATTGACCAGATACAGCCCGTGCACCGACTTGTTTTTCCCAGCGCTGCAGTAGACATCGCCGGTGTCACAGTACGATACAATCTTGTTGGTAAAGCTGGCGCAGGCACCGATACCATTGCGGACAAAGAGCTACAACATGCAATGTTAGAAATCAACGTCTTCTTGAACATTTTCTAAGGGCAGAAACATACGCCATCGGCGGTGCTGGTGCCCTTGGCGTAGGGAGACGTGTGGTTGAAGCTGGGGTCACCAAAAATAGCAATCGCGACAACTAGGTTCGTTAGCTTGTGTTGTTGCGCGTGGCTCGCAAACGTTGGGCTAACCATCCTTGACGGCATCGGCGGGGATGGGCGCATCGTCGCCAAAGATGCCACCCTGACCACCGCAAAAAGCGTTGACAGCAATCTGAGCACCCTGTGACCATCCGAGGTAGGCCATCTTATGGCCGGGGCAATCCTTGTGGTACTTGGTGACCTGGTCGTAGACTGCCTGGGAGCCTTCCCTCTCGGACACGTCGTAGTTAGGCTTCGAAAATGTAGCCGGGTAATCAATGGCGACAATACTGGAACTGGAAATGGCGTCGCTAATGTTCTTTGCCAACGCACCCGTCTCTCCGAGGCCTGCGGGCTCTCCGGTGCCGCGACCGACGAGAATGTGCAGACCTTGGGAGCACTCGGCGGCCACAGCAGAGCCAGCCAAGAGGGCTGCGGCGGAAAGAGTCGCGGTGCGCATTTTGACGGTGGAAAGAGGTGTGACGACGACAACACAGGGCCGGGAATAACGCACAAGCCAGACAAACGCGAACGAGGAGCAGATGTGAATCGCATCCCAGGTTCCGCCGTGGCCTACTTATTCAAATACGGATTGCCTGCCGCCCGCCCCGTCAGCAGCCCTGGTCCATCAAATCACTATAAGTTCCAAGCGGCCTAACAAGCCTCGTGGCTGCTATTGGTGGGGCGGATTGGACGGTTTCTTGGAGCCAACGCATTAGTGCGGAGCGATTTCTTCAGGATTGGACGGTGAGAGTCGAAGCCGGATCTGGCGGGGTGGACGACGCGCGACGTGTCTTGAATGTTGTCCGGCTTGTTCGCGATTGAAGCGGCTGAGAAGCAACGTGATTGCGAATGAATGTACCGCATCGTGACTCTCGAACCTATTTGCTCCGGACGGCATGTCGGTCATCTCCATCCGCGTGGCCAGTGCATCGGCCCGGCGGTGTCACGAACGGTCAGGGGACGAGGCTATCAGTAATCTTAATGGCAAGCCACGCGGCCCCGAGTGTTCCGACCTGCAGGCGTTGGTCCCGTACCAACGCTTGTCATTGCGCTAGTCTTGGGTGCACTGCAGGCCTGAAGCATGTTCGGCCCAACTTTACAGTGGAATGGAAGCCATTACTCGCTCGTGTCTGGGGAAGTGGTTCCTGGGTACGGTGTTTGGTAAGGCGGGGAGTCTGACGCGTTCTGTCGCTGGAACTATCCAAGCTGAGTGAAGATTGAAAAGTCAATGTCGTAAATTGATGGCATTGATTGAGTTGATTGTGATGGCGCGATGATGATGGTTGTGGTGATGGCCATGGTGAAGAAAGCTTGGGTGGTAATGGTTTGAAACATTTTAGGTCAGGCAAACGGAGGAAGCCTCACAGGTCAGCAGCATGTGGCAGCCTTGATCCACCAATAACAGCTGAACATCGGTTCCCGCCGAACGCCCATTATACCATCACTGTCCGCGCTATAACTGTCAGTTCTCGCTTCTTCGGCCCTCTTCAATGTTCTTCTAAAAGAAAAAATCGCCAGATCTGGAGTTGAGTTTTGATGAGAAGCTGTCATGATACCGGATATTTTCTTCCCTTGTCTCCCTGCCGAACTCTAAAATATGGTCGTAACATGACCTGGTACATTTACTGTGCGGAGGCAAGTGAGGCTGCATTGAGAGCTAGTGGACCGTGGGAAATGGCAGCGCCCCAACAAACCATCAATAGAATCAACTCCAGAAACTGATATACCATCACTGACTTCTAACTATTACCATCCCTATATTGCCATGTTCCTACCCCTGTCTTGCGAGTCACTAGTCACGCCGCTTAGCTGACAACCGCCCGCACTCGGAAGTGCGGCTCTGCCGGAACGCATGCCAGAGGCTCGGACTGGAAATGCCAGGGTATAAGGAACTATCGCACTGCAGCTTTAATTGTGCCATCTTGCCTCTGCTGCGTGCTGATTAAACTAGCGCCAGTGTCAAGTTGCTGCAAGTGTCACCAGGCTCAATGTCTCTGCCAATGTCTTGGATAAATACCCGACCAGCCAGCCCCCATAGAAAGTTTACGTCGGAGCCATAATCTACCACACGAGCTGCTTTCCGGGTCTAGGTCTAACTTAGATGCACACTCAAGAGCCCATGCTCCTCGACACAAAAAAAAAAGCTTGTCACTCTCTTGAAAAATACACACTAGATTACGAATTCTCTTTCCTTCAACACACCGAATCATTGTAGCGTCAGAGGGTTACTAATGGCTGATTGGTCTATCTAGACAGGTGCGACAGGGCTCCGGTGAAAGAGAGGATCCAGCAGTGGTTCGAGCTACTGCCGCCCAAGGCGTCGAGTGCCCTTACTCCTACATTGACAAATATTCTTTCTGCACGGCTGAATGCCGCTGGCAATTTCCATTTTTTGTTCGTTCAATACGTGGTAATCACCAGTCATAGACTTGATGAGGCAGAAATCGAAAACGAGGTCTTCCCATGCTACTTTGGCGGCGTCTTATCCCTGCCAGACATGTCTGTGCGATTCTAAATACATCTGTACCCCGTAGTGAAAAGGAAACTCTTCGTCTAAAGGAGGCTGCATGCCAGCTGAAAGCTTCCTGCACTACTATTGGCCGGAACCCCCTGTGGGTGACCTCGAAGCTCCTCCTCGGCAGCCAAAGGGATAAACGTTTACATGCACATGTATGCAGCAGTCCGTGACTTAATAGTCAGGCAGCCTATCTCTTTAAGTCCAAGCTGAATTTTTGACCAGTCAATGTCTTCGCCATCTTTGATTTTCGCGGCAGACTTTCTCTCCTCTGGATTGAGTTGGCGCGAAGCTGCCAGCCATTCCACGAGCAGCTTCATTTCGCGCTTGAGAAAACGAGCCTCAGCAAGGCTCAGAACCTTGGACGACTTATCATGCCACTCTTGGGCTTGGCCATTTGGCTCAGATTGCCGAAAAAGACCACACTTCAGCCGGGAATCTGGTTGAGCTGCTCGTAAAGCAGTCGCGCGGTGAAGTGGATCTGCAGACCAACATCGCCCTGCATTACCAGTTTCAACCACGTTCGTCGAAGTCCCTGTTGAGCAATCCATAATTTCAATATTTCTCAGAGATCCGACTTCAGTTTTATCAACAAAGTAGTCGCACACTGTAGCACTTGTTGAACCGGCGACTCCCAACTCCATGCATTTGCCATATCCCTTCTCAGAAGTTTGTACTTCTCTTTTAAATCACCTCGAACGTCCTCCTCTAACTTCTCGAGTCCCTTTCGCAAGTCTTCGAGCTTCGTAAGCTCGATTCGAGTACCGTGCTTATCCCGAACATCTTCGCTTTTCGCGACTGAGCAAACTGATGCAAGGATGAGTCCCGCTTGCCGTTAAAACGCCCCAAAGTTAGGTAGTAGGGTAGAAGCTGTAAACCTCTTCGCGACTCTTTAATCCGGCCTACGCTCATCTAAAGAGTGATTTAGCACTTATAAAGGAACGGATTAGCTCGACCAAGGTACCTTGTGTGGTTGTCAGGTTATTGAGGCACATCTCAGACTTCGCCCACGTAACAGGCTTAAAAAGACTGACAGCCTTTCTCGATTTAAGATGTGCAATGAAAGGAAACAAAACGTCATCGTTGAAGCTTGCTCTAGATGCATCATAAATTCGCGAGACCATCCAAAGGAGACTCAGTGTCGATAGGCCAAGGTCCGCATTCCCACCACCAATGTCCGAGTGGCAACCAACAAATGCGCACTACTCGACTCTTATCTCTGCGTGTGCCTTCTCCCAGAACAAGGGCTTAAACCCTTTTTTTCCTCATACAGTAAAATAGCATAGAAGTCGTGCTTTACGTTTGGGGGAACCTCATTATGCACACACGCAAACTTCCTTTTCCCTAGTCAAAATGATCTGACTGCGCTTACAGTATCCCACTCAGCAAGCACTTAGACGCGATTAGGGTACATTCGAAGTTTCCTTAGAGCTTCGAGCTCGTTATCGAGGTTTTCCTATGTACCCCTAAATCATTTAGAGCTTCTTTGTCAGGCACTGTAAGTAGATTGAAGGAAGATCGAGCCTCTTCGGCGAAGAAGACCGACTTTATCAATGAAATGTGCTAGGCATCAAAACTGTAAACGCACCTCGTGAAAAGCCGACTAAAATTATATCGTCCACTCAGGCAATCCCGTTGAAGTTATTGCAGAGAAAGCAGTGAGCACCGAGGATGTTTCCGTCGATTCCTTTGATCACTTACCAATCTCTACATTTTTTATTTGCAGCCGTGTCTCGGCCAAGATGGCAGGCTAACGGCCCAATCCAGCCGCTTTGCCAAGTCTCTGCAGTGATCTTGTCGAGATACTGTGAGCTACGGGAATAGCTGTTTCCGAAAAAAGCCATTTACATGTCTCATTCTTCGCTACCCCAGCTCCGAGACAGCCACAGAAAGCCACCTGGCACCGAAACAGCTGGTGCGGAAACCGCAGAAATATGAGCCAGCGCTTCACTTCGAAAAGAGATGTAAATTAATCGCGCATATGGCAGTACTTGGATGTAAATTATCTTGAGAACGTCATTAAATTGGCTCGAAGGTTCGGTTCATATCTAGCATAGGTTAAATAGCCTTTTTCAATCGGCTGCCTGGCGTGACGTTTATACACTATGTTCCCCGATAACCTACGTATTTTCTGGGTACCCATGTATGCTTCGGCCTCCATAATACGGGTTAACGGTCAGGATCAGGGTGGTGGTATGTTAGATTGGTGGTGGCCTGTCACATTAATTACGTCGGTGGCTGTTTCTAAAGGCTACTTCCTCGCACACAGATGGCGGGACATTACCCAAGAAGTGACCAGAACAGAATTACCAGCATAGTATTAACTGCGAGAAGTAGAAATACATCTGCCGGCATAGAACCCTTTGCAAACTGGAAGACTTGCCAGCTTGTCGTCGGCGCAGCACCCGTTCTGCGATGGTCGGCGCGTCCATGAACGAGGCGCAAACCCCCGAACTGGAACTCAGGACAGCGACACACAGACGCTGATGAGGGAGCGTCGCATTCTATCTAAAAAACTTCCTTTTCCTCTCATAAATCATCCCGATCATTCTATTTTCAAACATTCGTTGATGTTTTCTCAAAGTGACTGTGTTGTCCAGCGCTGGGACGAGGTCAACCCTTGGTCGTCCAACCAAGAGGCTTGCTTGGAAGAGACCATTTTGGGGAATCTTTCAGTTCCGGTGCCGCTGCTCTCCCAGCACTCCTGCAACCACTTTTTCATCGATACTGCTTTTAGTCGTACTCAAGCGTTCTTCTCTGAAATGACTCTTCTTCTAGTATGTCATGTTTCCCGGCAGTGGACGATGAAGCTCTGTGTTGTTTTAATCTTGGCATCCAATTTACAACTCGAGGTCGTTGATATGGCTCTGCACCTTGGAAACGCCAGTTTCGACAGACCAGAATCAACTTCGATGGCGGTTGGGGGCACTACCTTCGTTGTTTGCTCGATATAGTTTTCTAACGTGGTGTGTTGTAGTTGCAGATGAGAGAATAGATGGCACAGCAACCGCAGAGCGATGGGAATGCGAATCAGCAGAGTGTTCTAACTACTTTAGGCAATCTATATATAAATTACAACTGTATTATGCAGCAGATGGTTGTATGTACGTAATCTAAGGCGCTGTACGTAATGGCCAGTGGACAAATGTCGCGCCAAGATAAGAAAGTAGGATCGAAACACGGGCGAGGGCACATTAAAAGATCAGGTTGCATTTGAGGTTGCATTCGACTTGCAAAGTACTCCACTATAGTCCATTGGTCCATTATCAAATTCTGAAAGTACACATATAATAGTGTCTCTTCCTTGGAATCATTCAGCTTCAGAAAAGAAGTAAACATGTAGTAACCAGGTATTTGAAGCACAATCTGTTAGTACGCCGTGCAGACGGTCTTTCCTTGTTGACTGCATTCATTGGCTTGGGGTAGTAAACGCTGATTACCCTATCAAGACAACTTGTTTTTCTGATACAAGTATACCCGGCCGATCAAGCAACTAATGCGACAGGAGCTAGCTGAATTTTCTCAAGGGCCTTGGCAATACCCACATGCGCAGCTGTGACAACTGACAAGTTCATTTTGGGTCTGTTCGACACTCACAAGCTCCGAGACAATAGCTACTCATGCTCCTTAGATCTTCTTCACTTGGCCCAATCAATGACTCGTCGAGACTAAGCCTTCTTTTCTAATGATAAGAGGGCATATTGCTGCGCCATTCACTCCTACCGCATGGCAGAAGTGGAATGCATACCCAAATAGAAGCGGCGTTGTTTTGCCTTGCCCTGCCAAGACTGACACATACGACAGCGGGCCGAATGTTGGGCTAGGTTGCGAGGAATGGTATGAACGTCGCATATATTACCAGTTATTAGCAGTGAGTAATTAATGTCAATGGAGACGTGGATAATCAGTTTTTACTGAGGCAGATGGGAAAAAGCTCGCATGTGCTGGGTGGGAGGGGCTGAACGAACAGCCGGGTTTAAGACGGCAGCTTACTTTTAAATTGTCAATTTCGCAACGATAAATCAGTCTAATATCACTAAAAAGAATTACTATAAACTCTAAGTCAGGCAAACGTTTATGGTAGAACTTTTTCAAAATATCTGTCAACTTTTTCTGGAGCGTAGCTGATATCGCATTAATAATGAGCGAGCGGAAGTCTTTCTTGTAGTCCCTCACGCCCCCCAAACCCCATGGACGTGCTCGGGAAAATTTCCGGTGCGCTTAGTAGGGCTAAAAGCGGCAGAAAAACGGTACCGGATATCTCAGCTAGGTGTCTCTGGGCTTACGATTGGTGAGTCGGCTGATCAGAGGCGCATATGATAAAACAAGCCGTCGCCGCCGCTTAGACGTACTAGACCTGCAGAGCCGCAGCATATTCGGCTGACCCGTGCTCTGGTTACTAGGTCGACATCTAAAAAAGCCCCGGCCAGGGCTGATAGCTACTCTGACGGTTGTCTGGCGTAACTATTAGCGTTCCTACTTCTTCGTCTTCGTCTTCGTCTTCTTGTCCTCCTTCTCCTTCTCCCTCTCCTCCTCTTCTTCTGTACATGATTTATACTTACAGAACTTATAAATCGCATATAAAGGCGCTGCTCACCGCCTCCAAAACATTAATTCTACTTTGACCTACTAGAAATCTCTCCCGAGTCCCGACCACGTCTGAGCTGGATGCTCGCGAGTAATGCCACGTGTGAGGGACCAGGGAGACATTGCCAGACGTAGTTTCAGCACGCGAGGGGCTTCTGACCGAAATTATATGGAGATACTGGATTAACATGCACAGAGTGTTACGTGTTGGCTAGCATCATCACCACAGCATCACAAGACGTCGGCCCAGCGCGTGGGGACCTAACCCCTACCAAGTACAGCTGCTCTGTACCCCCCCCCCCCACGTTCCTTCCTCGGTATATGAATGCCAGTGCAGCTATATGCTATCTATTCTTTACGTATGAATCGGTATGATATATGACTAGTGGGGGAGATTGCGGTGAGAACAGGAGACGGGATAACCGATTCTGCTGCTAAACTGAGTCAACTGTTCTTGTATGCTACGTAGGTATATAAAGACAGTCAGGACTCTTTCTTCCATGTTAAGCTCATACAAGCAACCGACATTTCTTCAGTCTACCATTTACATCTACATACTACAAAAACTTCATCATGACCGTCTCCAACACCCCTCGAATATTTTCCCTCTTGTGCCTGGCGCTATCTGTCGCCGGCCAGTGGACCGGAAACTACAACACGACGCAAGTGCCGCGCGGTCAAGATCCTGCGGATCATTGCTGGATCCAGAGCCTCGACCCGGCAAAGGGAGCCTCCACGGCCGTCTATCCGTGCACCTGCACTGGCGGCAAGGTCGCGCCCGACTGCAACTGGAAGCAAGCTGGCGCAATCTACAACAGTGTCAGGGATGCCACTTGCAAGTGTGCCAGGGAGAGAAATCTCAACCAGCAGCCCGAAGAGCTGGACGCGTTCGGCCGCAGCCAGCCCAGTGCCGTGACGGCGTGCATCTGTGATCCCACAAACCCCAAGGGCGAACCCGGCGCCGATGGCTTGATTGTGCCAGATACCAACTGCTGGTGCCCATCCGTATCTCTCGCAAAGAATAGCGGATTGACGGAGGCGAAGGAGGCCGCTCCGGAGGCGCCTGCTACCGTCGACGCCGCAGCTGTCAAGAAATGCCGCGACGACTTTTTAAAGAGCTCGATTGTCAAGGAGAATGCCTGCAGCCAGTTGCCAGAGTCCACGGATTCGAAGTTTACCGATTCTCTGCAGCGCGAGCTACCAAGCTGCACACCTGCTCTCCTCGCCGAGGTCTGCAAGACTATTTAAACAAGACTAAAGAAGTGACCTTTGTTACATGCATCTACTGCAACCTGCTGGCGACTAGAAATCGCAGCCACAAAGGCCTAAATAGAGAAGCCGGCTCTAGGTCAGGACCAGAAAAGACAGGGTATAATTAGGTTTTTACACAGATTCCTTGGAGGTTTTTACTGTATCTTGGTAGTACGTAGATTTATAGAGGTGCCGCATGGCTCTACAAGTCATTCAGCGCAATATACATACATACATATAACCTGCTACTATAAGAAATATACATATATAGCTGACTTCTTTACAAAGTTTCTAAGCCTCGCCAAGCCTGCCCTATATCAGAGCGTAGCCCGGGTTATAAGGCTATGGCGGCCTCGGGGGCATCTACCGACTCGACTCCTTGCTTCTTGGCCTTGTCGTAACACGGGCATGTATTAAAGCAGCCCTTGTTCTCCGAGCTGGCGGTGTTGAGGACCTGCAGCTTGCTATAGTAGTCTTGCAGCCGCTGCGCCTGCGATTATTAGATCGTCACTGCCTGTTCGGCAATCTTTGTCAGGGCTTGGAGGATGTCCTGCAGCTGGTTTTGTTTTCTCGACCTTGCAGACTGGTGCGATCGTCCCGCACATCCGGTAGCTTCACGTCATAGATGCAGGGGTTATCAGCGAAATTTACAGAGCGGTTGATGCTGTGCGCCTTTCAATTTACTTGACAGTGTAATCCGACACAGCATGAGAACGAGGATGAAGTCTGGACGGCAATTTGCGGACTATAAAGCCGCATGATGTATGAGCTCTCGTGCGCGGAAAATGTGCCCATTAGTACGCCTATGGATTTCATGGAATGGCATAGATGGCCTTGCAATGAGGTTCAATGCGGCTTCGCTGATGCTAGGAATGCGCTTGGTGAGGCTGAGCAAGTGAAATCGATTTTTGTAGTTGAGCAGCCACTATCTACAGCGCGCCATCGATTACGCTGAAATGTAGCCTATCCGGGGTGGTGCTGCTGCCACGCAACCAAGGTAGAAGAAGCGTAATATCTGCCCGTCGAGGGTCTGATTGTGTGTCTCTCACCAAGACTGTGTCTCTCGCGCTAGTGACACACGAGACATTGACTCTCATAGACAGAACCAGCCGTTGCCGGGTAAGTTGAGAGTCGACAAAGATCCGACTTGTCTGACACAAAGCCCTAATAGAAGCGTAGTAAAGATCTAATGCAGTACCTGATTTTTCAACCTTTTTTTTTTTTTCATAGCTACGAAGCGGCTCTCTCGGCCCAGTACGGACGGGCGATGCTGTCTACAAGACACAAAAGACTGGTTGACGCAAGCACCTGCATGTCTTTGCTCAGCTTCTATAATACGAGACATTAGCTCGCAAAGATCTTCAACCCGCAAGTAGCAAAAAAGAAAAACATTCCAGCTTTCGATTGGTATGCACCCGCCTTTTGCGGGCACTTGCGAGTGCCGAGTCGTAACGCACGACCAGGCCGTTTACAGCTTCGAACTCTCAGACCTGCAGTTGCAGATTCACTATAAAAGAACTGCCGCGCAGCCAATTTCCAAAATCCCAAATCCGTAGACTCAACGCACAGAATTTTAGACAACACTTTCAAGATGCGCTGCCTTGTCCTCCTCCCCGTTGTCTTTTGCAGCCTCGCTCAGGCTCAAGGTTTTATTGCCGTATGTTTTGCTTGCGAGGACACATGCTGCGACCTATTTCACTGACTGCCGCTCCAGGCGACGCTGTACAGTGATACGGGCTACGAACTTGATGTGTATCGGGATCGCTGTACCAACTTGCGAAGAACTCAGTGTGTTTTTTTTTTTTTTTTGGGAATATCAAGATCAAGATCTCTACATAAATACTGACACACAGGTAGACCCAGATTCAACCAAATTGAAGTCGGCAACTCCAACGTCTGTTTCCTATATCGGTACGTCGCCCTCTGGCAGAAGAGTCGCAGCTGGCTAACATTGACAGCGACCTCAACTGCATTGATGAGGTAAAGAGGTTCCGGGCCGGAGAGCACGACATTGAAGATGTGGATTTCAAGTCTATCAAATGCGAAGGAACACTAGAAACTATGGGCGACGAGCAGTCATGAAGGCATCCGCCACCAGCAACTCTTCGCTACTGATGCTGCTTATCCCCCCTATTCTGGAAGCACAGGTGTCTCTCAAGTGTTTGTATCAAATCACCAATTCGAAAAAAATAAACAAAAAATCGGTTCGCACTACATCTTATTCTGTAGCTAGCATTCTGTAAATTTTCCATCCCGTTCTACAATCCCGCCATCGCTGCCTCGCTTTGGCGCGGATAATGTGTAGAGGCGCAGGGGGGGTTCCTCTTAGACGGCCACCAACCAGAAATCACCGCCGGTTCAGGCCTCCCTCCATAAAGTTTATGCTCGACTCCTTTCTCATCGGTTGGTATCGCTCACCCTGGACTTTTGGATGGACTAGGGCCGATTTTCTTTGTAGGTACGATGCGGCGGAGTTTTAAAAGGGGATTTTAAAAATCATCACCACCCACCCCCAACCTCCCCCCGCTTAACGGCGGCGCCACCAACGGGGCCGGGCCGGATAAGGTGGACTGGGGCGTCTTGGCCCAGCCGGACTTAGGCTTTGATTGAGCTCATGACATAGATTAGCTGCTATGAGGTGTTTGGGTGTTTTATGAATTGCGTTGTATGTATTTTGGAAAAAGCTAAATTGTCTCTCTTTTCTTTCTTTCCTTTTTTTTAATTTTAATTTTAATTCTTTTTTAATTTTCATTTTTTTTTTCCACATCATTTGCAAGCTGCAGTCGTCACACAAATCGACCATGTGCAACTTCCCGCCCAGCTTCAGGCTCCGTCATTCTTCCACTCCACCAAAAAAAAAAAAACCCCAAGTATACAATATATGTCGAGAGAAGCGTAAACTTTCCAAGCAACTTTTTTGTTTTCAAAATCATCAGCAAATTAGCAAGTCGCCGGCGCGCTGACTCCAACCGCGTTCGGCTGAGTGCTCAGCCTGATCCACCCCCGGATCCGAGGGACTAGTGTTGGCCGAGAGCTCGTCATCTCCTACGTCCGCAGCAAACAAACAAACAATCCATCCATCCCTCTTCATCTCCCCTCCGCCCCCTTTCCCTCTCTTCTTACCCCAGAGCGCGCGCGCGCGCGCATCAAAGACATGGCCAGTTCTCAGAGTGCGGTCCTCGCCGCCCCGCGAACCAGCCAAGAGGCCGCGCCGCTCCTACTTCCCCGCCCCTCCTCCTACTCCTACTCCTCTCAGGACCACCACCACCCCCACGAGGACACCAGCCTTACCAACCCCCCACGGCAGCTACTGCGCATCGCCATCCCCTTCTTCTTTATCCTCACGGCTGTCGAGTTTGCCGCCGCGCTGTGCGCCGCCGGCGTGGCCGCGCTGGTAGAGGGCTCGCTGTGCCGCACCGCGTTCCCGGACCTCGCTACGGATCCGTACGGCGATGCGCGCTGCAAGCACGAGGCCGTGCAGGCGGATCTGGCGTGGATCATTGGCATGGAGAATACAATCTCCGTCGTGCCGGGCCTGCTCATGTCGATACCCTACGGCATCATTGCGGACAAGTACGGGCCCAATATCGTGCTGGGCCTCGTCTGGGCGGGCCAGTTTCTGTCTGAAGGCGGCCATCTCCTCGTCTGTGCGTCTTTTCCTCCCATTTGTTTCTCTCTCTCTCTCTCTCTCTCTCTCTCTTTCTTGAATGAAGCTCATCACTGACTATACTAGGCCTCAACCCGCAACTCTTCAACGTCCGCTGGATATACGCCTCTTCGTGCATGACGCTCATTGGCGGCGGCGGCGCCACGTACAGCGCCATGCGCTTCCTCGTCGGCGCCAGTCTCGTCAGCGAGAAGAACCGGTAGGTAGCAACCAAAACACACCCGTTCCTCACTCACCCTTCCCATCCCCCCGGCCGGCACTCTGCTAACACATATCAACCCTCCAGAACCACCCTCTTCTTCTACATGCAGGCGTACAGCACATTCATCGGCTTCTTCACCGGCCCCGCCGTCTACTTCATCATGAGCCGCGGCGGGCCCGTCGCCGCTCAGGGCGTCGGCGTGCTACTCCTCGGACTAATGATGATTCCCGGCTTCGCCATGCCGCGCAAGCTACCCAACACGCCCCTCGTCGCCTCTTCCTCCTCCTCCACCACCATCACCATCAAAGCCCGCGCCGTCGACGTCCTCGCCAGCACCGCCTCCACGCTCCGTCTCGTCTTTGGCCACAGCCTGCCCCTCACTCTCCTCCTCTCCGGCGTCGTCTTCACCACGCTCGGCGCCTACGAGACCACCTTTCGGCTGCAGTACGCCACGAAGCGCTTCGGCTGGACGTGGGCCGAGGCCGGGCTCCTGTCGTCCGTCGTCTCCGTCGCCAACCTCGCCACGCTCGTCGTCGTGCTGCCGGCGCTCAGCTGGGTGATGCTGCGCCGCGAGGCCGTGTCGTCGGTCCTGGAAAAGGACTTGTGGCTTGCGCGCGGCAGCGGCTGCGTCCAGGTCCTCGGGAGCTTCCTGACGGCGCTCGCGCCGACGGGGCCCGCCTTTGTCGCCGCCATTGCGCTCTACGAGTGTAATCGCGGGTACATGCCGTCCATGGTCAGCGTCATCGTGTCGGTCGCTGAGCGCGCCGGCATCGCCCAGCAGACCACCGTCTACGCATGCGTCTCGACCATGAGCGCCACGGGGGCCATGCTGGCTGGTCCTGTCATGGCGAGTGCGTTCCGCATCGGTCTGCAATGGGGCCAGTCGTGGTACGGGTTGCCCTTTCTGGCGGCTGGGCTGTTGCAGCTCTTTACATTACTCATTCTTATATACGTGCGGCAAAAGTAAATCATGTTGCACCGAGGCCGTTCACTTCTATATATCCAGATGGCTCTTGCAATATATCAAAATTCTAAATACTCAGACACAAAATCCTCTGATTCCTGCTTTTGATATCGCGGACGGTCAATCATGTTGACGATTCTTCCCTCGTCCATCTCAATGATTCTCTGCATGTTGACAAGAGCTCCCTTGCGACTCGTCACCATGACGACAGTACAGTCCGCAAAGACAGTCTCGATAATCTCCTGAATGCGATCGGCCGTCTCGTCATCAATCCCGCTCGTTACATCATCAACCAAGACGAGACGTGCCTGCAGGTATTCCTTGCGGAGAATAGCCCTGGCGAGGAAGAGCAGCTGTTTCTCGCCCCGAGACAGGCTCGCAGAGGCAAAGTCGGTGCTCAAGCCACCGCAGGACTGAACCAGTTCATCGAGACCCACACGTTCCAATACCGCATGAATCTCGGCATCGCTAAACGAGTGCTGCGACGTTGCCCAAGGATCCATGTTTCGACGAATCGATCCGGGCAGCTCGACGCCGCCTTGCGGGAGCGTGATGATGCTTGCACGCAGCACATCGGGAGGAATGGCCTGCACATTGGTACCATCAATGTAAATGGCACCCGAATAGTCCAAAAGGGTCAGAATGGATAGCAGCAGCGCAGACTTGCCGCTTCCAGGCGGGCCAATAATGGCAAGCTTGGCTGCGCTCGGCAGCTGGAGTGAAACGTTTCGCACAACATGGCTATCCGTCGAGCTTCCGTCATAGACCGCCGTGACGGCGTATAGGTCGAGACGCCCTGTAACCGTCTTCCAATCGCTGTAGTCCCTCTTGTCTTGTTTTTGTGTCGTTTCTGTTGTCATCTTCTTTGCCGCCTCGACGACGACTTTCAGTCGATGCAGCGCTGCCAAAGATGGTTGCAACTTCACCCATTTGTCAAAGAGACGGCAAAGTATGGGCCCAAACGAGACCAGGGTCAGCATTGTTAGGCCGATGGACGTTTCAGACATTGTATCCGCCATGCACAAGGATGTGCCGATGCAGATCGTGGCCAGGAAAGCAACAAACATGTCGATTACGAGATGAAACCAGCACTCCATGCAATACAAGGCATATTGAAGCCTCAGCGACTCATCGACGAGTTTGTGGCATCTCTCCAAAAAAGCAGATTCCCACCTCATGGCTCGAATGTGAATGATGCCTTGGGCTGTGTGTTCAAAGTGGGCGAGAAGAGGGGCCGCAGCGTCTTGGGTCAGAGATTGCACCCGGCGATAGATACCCAGATAGTGATGTTGCATGCCAAAAATCGTCGCTGGAAACATGGCTACGATGCTGATAATGTAGATGTTGCACGAGGCGAGGATGAAAAGGTCGCACATGACCAGGGTGGCTAGATGCACCACCTCGAGTAGAGATCTTGGCAAATCGTGCGATAGCAGTGACATGTCTTGGCCGAAGAAGCCGATCAAATTGGCAATGTCTGTCTTGGACAGATATGCGGTTTTCGCGCGAAATACAAACTCGACCAGATCCTGATGCAGACTGCGGGACAATGCTGGGGCGAATTTGAGGTTGAACAGGCTGATGGATATGACTGCCAGAATAGTTGGAAACATGGTCACGATTGCATAGCCTATAAAGCATGACGACATGTTCGGTTCCGTGGAAAGCCATATGCGTATATAGACAGGTGAAAGTCGTTCCGAAAAGGCCGTCCAACTGAGTAGTAAAAGGCTGAGCAGAGTCACCTTCCAGCCTGCCGACTCTGCCAGAAACCAGTACAGCCAAATGTCATGTTCGTGACCGTTTGGAGCATCTTTTGATCCAGTTTCATCCCGACGCAAGGCCCCAGGCTCGTACATTGCACGGGTGTGCGAGCGATGGCCGTCTTTAGGTACGCTTGTCATCAAGGTTCGAGTCGGACGCTCAAGTGTTTCGACGTGTCCCTGGCCGTCTAGTTCGTAAGCGACATCGGCGAGTGCAAGGTGTGCAGGATTGCTGGTAGAGATGATGATGGTTATTCCTAGTAGGCGCATGACGCCGCCGGGACCAAAGAGGCGGTCCAAGACGACCATGGCAGACTCTTCGTCAAGCCCGCGGCAGGGATCATCCAGTATCAGAAGATTCGGCCTCCCGTAGGCTGCTCTGGCCAGCTGCACACGCAGTTTTTGCCCGACGTCTAAGTCGTTGTCTTCCTCTTGTACCATCCTTTTGTTTGGCCATTCTTCGGCCTCACTTATGAGACAGGCCCAAGCAACTCTCTCATACCACTCCTCGACGTACTCGTGCTGTGCAAGAATGGTTGCACGAATGTCCTTGCCAACGAGCCAAGGCGTGTCATTGCAGTAGGCGCCAGGCCCAGGCGGCATGGTGACCATGCCCCCGTCTAAGCGCTTCTCGCCTAGCAGAACCTTCATCAGAGACGATTTGCCACAACCGGCCCTACCATAAACCATGGTGACGCCGGCAGGAGCAAACCGAATGGAGACATCTTGCAGGATCGGAGTCGAGCTTGTTGGGCGCAAAAGAGTGGCTTTTTTTAGTTCCGGAGTACGGAAATGCCAAGAGGAGTATATCCGGCCAATTTCAGTTGTCTCGGTGCGTTTGTTTACAAAGTCCATGGACAGGCCCTTGACGGACTCGCGCAGCATAAATCTCTCAACGCTGTCGAAACAAGCAATTGTAATAGCCAGGCGAGATACCTCTAGAAGAATTGTGGTCATGGCACAGGAGACTAGGTAAACGAGAGACATGATTGCGAATACTTCAGAAGCCGAATGCGCACTGGGAAACGCGAGCGAAGAGATGGAACCGATGAGGACCAGCATTGGGGTGATGCTCTCAGCAAACACGTCTATACGTCTCAGCATTCAAGTGCAGGTACAGTGTTTACAGTAGATGTACAGTACTTACTTATAATTTGCGTGACGACACGCAGCTTTCTGTCGTAGAACGAACATTGAACTTCTGCGTCATGTAGTTCTTGTATATGAGATGCTACCACAGATGCAAGCCCTATGGCGTTTATGCCAGGGAGTTGAGCAATGGCACTAGAGGCGACAGCCACGCGGTGCCCAGTCTTGTCGCTCCAGGCTTGCTTGGCCGCCGCCTTGGAGTACGCCATTTTTGCGGCAACGAAACCAACGACTACATGATTAGCCTTGATTAGCCTGGATGGCAGGTGGATGTCGATTCACTCACAAGCTCCCGGGACAAGGACAAGGCAGCACCACAGGCCAACATAGCTGAAGAGCAGATAGGTGCCAAAGCTAACCTCGGCAAAGCTGATGCAGAGATTGCAAAATCGCTCCGGCATTTCTTCAATAGTAATCAAGTCGGTATCCATGATCTTGAATGCCTCGTTTCTGCTGAGGACATCACAGTCCAGGCGCAAGGACGTTTCAAAAATTGCCGAAACGAGTATTCCTCGCAAGAGGGCTGACACACGATGACAGAGTTGTCGATAGTAGCCTTTGGAGATCTTGGACGGTCAGTGTGCATTTTTTTTTGGGATATTGAAAGCATTTACAGCAATACCAAGAAACAGCAAAGCCGTCATGATTGTAACCCTGCCAACAACATCAGGTGGAAGATGCCCATGCTTGACCAGTAAAGAGACGTATTGAATTACAAAGGGCTGCGAAAATGTAAATCCGAAAGATGCAAGGCGACATGGCAGCAGTTTGGCCAATTCCCAGCGCAGTGTATCAAAGCAGGCTTTGAGTAACGGCCGGCGAGAATTTGGGTTTCCTAGTCATGTCAGCGATCCTATTGGAAGTTCTTATGCTTGCCCTCACTTTTGGCCCAGTGTGCCTGCAATTGAGGAAAGAGAACCTCTGACCTCGACTGGGGATCCAGCTCTGGTAGATCCTGCAGATCAATCGTATTTTTGAACCCCAAAGAAAGTGTCAAAATGACCCAGTCCAAAACGGAATGGCTGCGGAGCAGCGCGCTGCGAGACTGCAGCTGATACGAAATCCGACCAAAGGTGACGAAGAGAGCCTTGATCAGCGTGGTCGCCAGGCACACAGCCGCCATGACGCGCATCTTGCGCAAGATGTATGAGCGCATCCTGACAAGGTCAAACAGCGCAGTTGTGGCTGCATACACGCTCGGAAGAGCAGGCCAATGGCCACGGATGCGTCCGAGTAAGAGCACGGCACCCATGCAAACAGCGGCCAGGCACATGAGGGCGGACGCTTTGGAAGCGTAACGCGGTACATACGACGATGCACCCCAGATGTCCGTGGCGAGGAGCTCGGTGGCAAAGCAACCGCTGACCAGGACAATTTCTACATAAAAGGTCCAGGCGATACTGCAGGACCCGCGGTCGCGAAAGGCCCGCTGCAGACATAGGGGCGTGAGGAGCAGGACCAGTGCCGCGGGAATAATGGCGAGCACAATGTTTTCAAAGACGAGCGTCAGGTCGCCATGGCCAGGTAGAAGTGGTCCAAAGCTGTCGTCGCCGGGCCAGGCGGCGGGGTGCGGCGTGGCCATGGCCCGAAACAATGCCAATGAAGCTGGATCGAGATGCGGGGTTCAACGGGCTAAATTCATGGAGAATGAGTCGGGTGATGGAGACGTTGACGCTGGAAATTTTTGTGCTAAGCGAGCCAAGCGCTGGCCCGGATTGTGGCAGAGGCAGAAACGGGGATGCAGGTTGGGGGAGGAAGGGGCGAAGGGAGGCGTCGCAGCCCTAGATGTTGACAAGGAAATACTGAGGCAACGCACAAGTGTGGGCAGGGGTGATGTGATGAATATGGGCTCATTTTAGTAAGATGATACGTAGGGGCCTATCGCCGGTTGACTCACTTGAAATGTATTGGGATGCGGCAACGCATCTGGATGGGTCGAATGGTTTACTGCCCAACGTTAAGTTACATGGATGTATGAATGTCACTTGTCGGCGATCGGCTCAGTCTCTTCGTATAGAATACCCCTCCGAAGGTGGAAAAAAATGAAACAGAATAAAGTAAACCTTAAACGATACATGGGATTTTCACGGCAGACACAAAGTAATACAATGCAAAGTATGACCGACAAAATAAGTAGTGTGCAACTTGCAGCTTCACCCAGCAGTGACACGCGCCAACTGTGAGCACTTGGCACTCACACCCGTGAGGCATGACAAACGGAGCCGCTGCATCAATTCGGAGGATTCCATCGAGGGTGACTCAAAACATTACCTTCAACACCATGAGCTCCTCACATTCACTCTTTCTCACCTCGTTAATTCTCCATCAGGAAATCATGTGCAACCAAGCCACACACGCCTGACTCACTCAACCGCCGTGACACAACCACACCCTCGGCACGCATCCGGCGAACTACATATACTCCCCCCCCCGCATCATCTTTGCCTCCAACTCCGTCATCCTCATCAAGAGCACACCTCTCACCATGGGCGGCTCTGCTTTTTCTGTCGGCGCCAATCCGCTGCGCACGCCGCGCATGCTGCCCGGCCTCTACCACGCGCAGAAGCAGCGCTGCCGGACCCTCCTGCGCCAGCTCTACGTGCACGTCGACTCGCCCATTGACGGGCCCGGCAAGGCCGACTTTGGCGACATTGACTTTCTGGTGTACCAGCGAAGACGCGAGGCGCCGCCCGCGCCGCCACACGTGGACAATACCAAGCCCGGCACGGAGCTGATTGGCGAGCTGGCGACGCTCCTCGGCGCGAAGCGCACCATCATCGCCGACGGCGCCGCTTCCAACCTCGCCATCCCGTGGCCGGCTGACGCCGACGAGCAAGTCTCTCAGGACGCTGTCGCCGCCGCCGCCGTCGCCGCCGCCGCCGAGGACCCAAAGTACATCCAAGTCGACGTGCGCATCTCACCAAGCCTCGAATCCCACGCGTGGATGCTCTTCAAGCACGCCCACGGCGACATCTGGAACCTCGTCGGGTCGCTCGTGCGGCCCTACGGCCTCACCATTGACGACCGGGGCATGTTTCTGCGCGTCCCCGAAATCGAGGCCGTCTACAAGACGCGCGCCAAGGTACACCTGACCTCGGACCCCGCGCGCGTGCTCGACTTTCTCGGGCTGCCGCGCACCGCCGACCACGCGCGCACATGGGTCGACGCGCCCTTTCCGGACCTCGACGCCATGTACGAGTACGTCGCGCTCTGCCGCATGATGTATATCACGCCGTCAGCCACGGGTCCGCCCAACCAGGCCAACCACGACGAGGGCCACAACCTGCTCAAGGACGTGCAGAACCTCAAGCACAACGACCGCCAACGCATGCGGCAACGGCCGGGCTTCCGGCGCTGGATTGAGGAGTTTATCCCGCGGTGCCGCCGCGAGGGGCGCTTCGCCGTACAGACCACGGACCGGGGCAAGATTACCGAGGAGGCGCTCGAGGAGTTTGGCGTGCGCGACGAGTTTGAGCGCCGCCGGCACGCGTTCCTGCTCGAGCAGCAGCGCCATCACATTTGGAACGGCATCATCAAGACGCAGATTCCGGCCTTGGAGCCGGGCAATGCCGACCAAAAGGCCATCATGGCCCGCTCTGGCCTGGTCAAGGGCCTGAAGCGCATCATCCTGGAGCGGGACGCGAGCTACGGGGTTGAGTTTGACGAGGGCTTGCTGGGCGAGGATGGGCTTTACAAAGAGGACGAGGTGGTGAGGTTCATTGAGAAGAACAAGGATGCGGTGCAAAAAGCGGCTCTGCAGAGGCATAATGAGGCGTTTATCAACTACAAAGAGAAGAAGAAAGCCAAGGAGGAGAAGCTAGTTGAGGTGGCAGCGGAGAAGCTGGAAAAGAAGCAGACAGAGTTGGAAGATGAGAAGCCGACTGCATGAGGAGGGACCGGTGTCAAGTCATGGTGACTCGGATACAAGCAACAGAATGATCAACGAGGCAGTTTCAGGATAGATAGATACCCAGATGAGCTAAATTTTCACGTGCTATTTTCACCACTACGCTACAACAGAATGACAGGACCGTGGATGACGAGGCAGGTTTGCAATGTCAGCGAGCTTGGCGGCCTTGCTGGACAGGGCGAATCGCAGGGCTAAGTTGTGGTTGATGGAATGTCTTTGGTTCATTTCTGAGTTTTGTAATTGGTCGTTTTCTCATTGACTTGTGTACTTGATGGCGTAATGCCCTCGTAAGGCCTGTCTTTTTGCTGGTAGGATGGTGTCTCGCTTGACATGCTGCGTTTGCACATTGAGAAGCCACCATGGCTCCAAGACAGAGCAGCCAGTAATACATGATTATTTCGGTGCTAAAAAAAATTCACATATTGCTTTAAGATTATACTAAATCGGTCCAATCTTTAAACGTAGTCTTGTTAACTCTGTTAGCATCTAGCAACAGTGACTTGGCATTTGCCTTGTTTTCGACGTCGACGACTTATAGCGCTACAAGGAGCCCACCACACACACATCAACTCATCTCAAGGGGTCAAGATGCAAACTGAACTTTTATTTCCACTACAATACTAGACC